GTTTCTAAAAAAGAAATGAAGGACAGGCGGAGATATATATATTTTCTGATGGTCTTTGGAGACCCCTCTAAAGCCCCCTCATGACCCCCCAGGGGTCCTGACTCCCAGGCTGAGAAATGCTGGATTAGATTTAAGACAGTATCCACATTGCTTTGTCCCCAAATACAAAAAAATGAAACCAGAAATAAACAGCAGGCTACTTAATTTTTAAAAAACACTCCATATTTGGGGGGCTGGTCTTGAGCAGAAGAAAACTGACCCCCTGGCCTCCGACTGGCAGAACATGCCCACCACTGATTTTAAGAGAAACAAATTGTTTGTGGGGAATGGATAAAGGAATTTATATAATTTCACAATTTTAAAAGCAAAGTAAATCAAACATTTCTAATAACTCCACATAGACCAATATTCATTTTTAACTGCAGGAGTGCTCTCATAAGAAATGGCGCCTGCATTGTATTTTGCAGTTCAGTAGGTGAACTGCAAATAATGTGTGTAAGAATGTAATAATGTGTAATAATGGTATTCATTTGGGGAATGTAGGCAACTGTACTTAATGGAATTATAGCTTGAATAATTGAAGGAATTATGTCACAATTTGACACAAATTGTACATAGAGATATGTGTATGCATAACTAATGAATAGATGGCGTCATTACTACCAAAAAGCTATCCAACTTCTATAATGCCATAGTACAGATGCATCCTAAAGTAGAGTATATATATAGGTAGTAACTTGGATGGGATGTGATGTGACCAAAATAATTTTCAATAGAAAGTAGAAAAACAATTCCTTTATAATACCATGATATTGTTATCAATAATCAGTATTTTCATAGCTTCATGGATGCTCTCATAGAGGAGGTTCATGGATTCTCTGAATAGTAAATCAAAGGCAGACTCATAAAATCAATCTAATTTAAGTTGATGTCAGTTATGGATTCAGAAACTAGTGAAAGACTACAGACTTGCCAAGAGTACATATATGAAATTTCAGAGTTGAGTTTCGGATTAAAATTCTACCTATGAGGGATCCATAGAGGTTTTGTAAAAAAAAAAAATGCCGTTGTCAAAGGCCTGAGTGGAAGATACAAAAATCTTCATACCAAACAGCTGGATAAATACTTTTAGTATTTTCACCTGTCCATATAGACATAGGCAACTTCTTTCAGTCTTTGTTAGCTACATCTTAATCTACCTGCAGGTTTGACAGCCTTTGTTAAAATAATGCATGAAGACACACTTGAGATTACAAAATTTGTGAGATTATGAGCTTGCAGTTGCAAGACTAAAGATACCTGAATGGAATACCTATGGGAACCTGTCAAAACAATCAATCAGATGCTTGAAAATAGATGTACGTATAATAAATGAACCCAAAGAAACGGGAGATGTATCAATCATCTTGTGAAGAATATTAACAGCTGTGTGCATCACCTCTCCCTCCTGTGCTACATGAAAAAGAACGGTTATTCTGGCTGACAGGGGACTTTACAGTACAGTTGGTCTCCAGAAAAGAAATGTTCACAGTGCATTAATTCCTTGCCTGGTGTTCACTCTTACATCCAGACTGAAATCTGTTTTAGGCTTCTTGGTTCTGAAGCATTTTAAATTTTGTGATATCCATGTAAGCTCTTGGCTGAGATCCCAAAAGATTTCTTAAGCATATCCAAAGATTTGGACATTTTCTGGAATTTTGTTCCCACTCCTTCCTGTCCATGGGTGGGTGAGGGCATGAGAGTTACAGGCAGGCTGTGGAAATGAGGCTATTGCCCTCCCAAAATAGGACTGTGACCCCCTCCCAATTTTCCACTAAGCCATGAAACCATGGGTGAGTCATATGTTCTATGTATTGCTTCTTTTATGTGCAGCACTTTGGAGTGCTTTGTAAGCTGCCCTGAGTCCCTTTGGGGAGATAGTGATGGGCTACAAATAAAAATTATTATTATCTTTTATTATTATTACAAACAGCCTTGGATGAAAAAAAATAGCCTTGGATGAAGGAAACTGCAAGCCTGAAGAAATATTGCCAAGGAGAAGGTATCCATAAGTTGAAGTTGACTTGAAGGCAGCTTTGTTGTGTCCAGGAATTGCTGTAGCAGCAGCTACTATAAACTCCCCTGTACTTGTTTCTTTAAGGGTGAATGCAACAGCCCTATATAGTCCAGGAGAAACAGAGCTTCATGCTCTGTGCTCTTCCAAATGGTAATCCTATATTACTAGCATCAAAGTGGAGAGGTTCCTTCATCTCTATAGAAACATTCCAGGCCCAGGAAAGAATGCTACTATATCTAGCAGTAGCAGTTGATGTGTATAATCTCTTAATCATTTTCATTTTAATCAATTTTAAGGATTTTAAGTTTGTTTTTAATGTTATTAATATTTAATTCTATTTTGATGTTAGTATATTTTTAAGTTTTAAGTTGTATTTATTGGTTTTATTGTAAGTCATTTTGAGTCTCTGTAGGAGTGAGAGAAGTAAGATATAAATAAAGATAATAAATACATGTATTTATTTATCATGTCTGAAGTGAATTGTGGGTATAGTTATAATGTATTTACAAACACAAACAAAGTTAAAAACTTGGCATTATGCAAAATGTCTTTTGACCAGAAGCTGGCCACTTGGAGTGCCTCTGGTGTCACTGTGAGGTGCTCCATTATGCATGTGGCAGGGCTCAGGTTGCATTGTAGTAGGTGGTCTATGGTTTGCTCTTCTCCACACTCTCATGTTGTGGACTCCACTTGATAGCCTCATTTCTTAAGTTTAGCTTTAGCATCTCATGGTGTCTTCCACGTCACCCAATGTTCTGTGTGCCCAGGAGGTATCTCATCACTGCTTGAGGTTCTGGGTTTTCGCCTGCAATTTTTGGACTCTTGCTTGCTGTGGTGTCCCTGCGAGTATCTCTGTAGGTCTTGGGAAGCTGTTTCTTGATTTAAGGCATTGGTTTGCTGACTGATATCCAAATAAAGGATGGGTCGGAGATGTCAATGTCTTGGTCCTTTCATTACAGGCTGCTTCTTCCTGGCAGATGTCAGGTGGTGAAATACCAGCTAAATAGTATAATTTTTCCAGCAATGTTGGGCATAGACATCCTGTGATAATGCATCATGTCTCATTAAGGGCCACATCCACTGTTTTAACATGGTGAGATGTATTCCACTCTGGGCATGCGTATTCAGCAGCAAAGTAGCAAAGCACAAGGGCAGATGTCTTCACTGTGTCTGGCTGTCATCCCCAGGTTGTGCCAGTCAGCTTTCATATGATATGATTTCTAGTGCCCATTTTTTGCTTGATATTCAAGCAGTGTTTCTTATACAGAAATAAATTTTGAAAATAAATAAATAAATAAATGATCATTGTGTGTGTTTAAGATTTCAAAAAGAAATAATATCTACACCTCCCAGAAGGTTTTGAACCATCATACATCTTTTTCAGGGTGAATTTCAAAAGTGAAACGCTGACACTGCCATGCCATTTTTATGTTCTGATCCTGTGCTCTGGAGCCCATGAGATGAAGACTTATTTATAAAATAGTTGTAAAGTTGTGCATAATTTTGCTTTCTGTCTCCTAACTTTTGTTTTAAAAAATCCATAATTACAAGCATTATTCTTAATAATAAAAATGAAGATGCAGAGAAACTAGTGCTCCAAGAGCTGCTTCCATGGTTATTGCCTTGAGACTGTGTAACTTTGTGGCATTTTTGTAATTTGAATTGTGCCCACTTTACCACAGATATGGAAAGCTGTATATAGGAAGAGAAGCATTTGATATTACAAATTATATTGCATAATAAAATGTAAAACTTTATTTTTTTTCCAGTTTTAGTAAAACAATAGGAATGGAAGACAGAGTGTTGTTGTTGTTTTTTAAAAAATTCTTTCATATGTACAGTTATCACACGCATTGCAACACAGAACAACAAATTGAACAAATTCTGGTCGTCATCATCATCACACATTGGCTTAAATAGCCGTAAGTGTCCCTGAAAGGCTACTGTGTACTGGAAAAGAAAGCTGAAAATTCTCCATAGTGTCAGAGGGCAAGTTTTCAGCTGTTCAGGATCATAAGATAATATTTCAACTCTCATAAAACAAAGAGTCAAAACACAAGGGCATACATTTAAGGGAAGGTTGAGATAGTCTTGGAAATCATCCACTTTAAGCAACCACATCCCTTCATATGTAAGTTAGGTCTAGGCATGGCAGTTTTTATTCACAATCAATCACAAAAAATACTGCAAATTTACACTCAAAGTCCTATAAACCTGAGGAATATGAATGCTATACATCACATTTGGCTAATTTGAAGGCACAATTATAGGTTATTAGAATTAAAGGGAATATATTCAGAACTTTTTCTGAAAGGAAGTTGTGTGCCCATATCCAGAAAAAAATAAGTTGAGCATAGATATAAATAATTTTCAATGTTTCATTCTCTGGAATGCTAGCAATCTGGGGACAGCAGGAACCAGAATGCTTATTTAGGGCAATGTCCCCCTTCCCACCGTTACAGCCACATCCCTGCTTTTAGCCCTTGTAAAGTATTCTTCACGAATTTATCAAGTAGAATTTGAAATCTTCTTGAAGGTATATATGCACAGGCTATACATTTACATCAGTAATCCTTGCCACCACAGCGGCAGCACATTTCATACATTTATTAGTCTAGCTACTGTGGGAAGAAAAACATCCTTTGTCCTTGATTTGCCATTATCATCGGATAATTCGGCTTCTAGTAGAGTTATATTCTGGTATCAATGTACTGGATATTGTATTTCTCTGTCAACTCACATTGTTTGCTGCTGGTATATGCAAATATGTAGGAATGTTGATGACATCTCATGGGTCATATAGGAGAAAGGTAATATATGCATCATTCATTTATTATTTATTTTTATTCTGCCTTTCTCCTAGTATAGGGACTCGTTATTAACAGATCAATGTATCCTGTAATGTCTAGTTCTGCATCAAATCAGTAGTAGAAAATACCACCACTCCAATGAAATATTTCATTTAATTATGTTGTTGATAGAACTTAATACATGATTCACTATTGCTGGACTGCACTCAATGTATACAATATTTTATTATAGAAACAACTGCACTCTGTACAAAAGTGTCATTTAATAATTTATAGTATTTGTGAAGGCATATAAATAGAGTATAAAGTCTAATTTCTTTTTTTCCTTTCCTTTTTTCTATAAAAATTACTCTTTACTTTTAGTTAATGTTGTAAGAATGGGGTATATTTTGGCCTCTGGTGTTGAAAAATTCCATTTGTTTCTCAAGACAGACATTTCATCTCTTTATTTACATGGTGGTTTCTTCCCATTCTAGTTCCACGTCACCTACAAAAGAAACAGACACAGTAGTTGAAACTTTTAAATATAATTCTTACCAAATTACATGTAATAATTTAATACAAATTCATTTTTAAATGTAAATATGTATAACATTATCTGAGATAACCAAAGAAAGGACATCATTACTGTGATCTTTTTTTGCAACCACTGTGGTATGATTTATCTTATTTGTGGCCTTTTAAAGCTTATGCTTTATTTTTTCTCATCTTACAGTTGATTAAAAAAAACTTCCCTTACTTACGTGTATTTGTTAAGGCAGTTAACAAATATAAGGCAAAACATAGAAAAAAACCCCTTAAGAATATTCACACCTAACTGCAGCAGGGAAGAGCTCCTTGCCCCATCCCAGCCATTCCACAGATATATAAACCCATTTTTCCTACTTCCAACAGACCTTCTCAACCTCTGAGGATGCTTGCCATAGATGCAGGCGAAACGTCAGGAGAAATGCCTCTAGAACATGGCTCTATAGCCCGAAAAAACCCACAAGAACCCTTAAGAATATGTTTGAATATGAAAATATGTGAAAATATATTACAAATATAGTAAAATAAAACATAATTTCCTTTCACCGAGAAAAATATTAATATTGGTACTAGGCAGAACTTTATGTGGGGAGAATTTCCATGAATGTGATGCCTCAATTAGGCTATGATGTTGTTTCAATTTTGTATGTGTGTGTGAAATAGAGAAAGACAGCTTTTTGATAATTGTATTATTAATTTTTATGTATGATGATAACATAAATGTATGAAAAACGTTTTGCAAAGTACAAGATGGATAATTGTTTAACTATCTAAAACTTAATGTATTGTCAAAGGTTTTCATGGTTGGAATCACAGGGTTGTTGTAAATTTTTCGGGCTGTATGGCCATGTTCCAGAAGCATACTCTCCTGAGACCTCACAACTTCTGAGGATACCTGCCATAGATGTAGGTGAAATGTCAGCAGAGTATGCTTCTGGAACATGGCCACACAGGCCAAAAAACTATCTAAAACTTGAAAGAGAGAACATCAGGCAAACAAGGTAAAAAAGAGGAGAAAATGATGACACAAAAGGACCTAAAGAAAACTTTATATGAATAATGTGTCCCATTACTAAATGGGTGAGAAAGGATAGATATGTTTGAAGAAGTTGAAGAAATTTGGAAAGATAAGGCTGGTAGAACTAGAAGAGTGAAGATCATAGTGAGGACAATATGAAAATATGAGAATGCCAGAGGCAAGAGGGGAGAAGTCCACATCAAGAAAGACCTACTTTTGAATCTTAAATTGAGTGGAATCTAGTTGAAATGATTTAAGGAGAAACATATCATGCTCAGAGAAAACAAGACAGCATAGATTTGGAGAGAAAGAAGAGCCCATGCTGAAAAATAAAACTCCAAAGTATAGGAAGTCATAGCACTCAAAGTAAGAGATGTCCTAGAGAGGAAGGTTCTACTTCTTTTTGCTCTTTTGTACTAAGGAAAATGTAATTATTTGGCTAAATATAAACAGGCAAAGGGAGAAGAGAAATCCAAAATTAATTGAACATTTTATACATCTTTAGTATGATAAGAGTTGATTTTGTTGATAGATATTGACAGCATTTGAGGAGAGAACAGCATAACAGTAAAGATGAGAAGTTGAATATAGTTAGTACTGGTCTACAAACAATGAATACTAATTACACTTTGCCAGGAGACTGAAATTCATAAAATTTAAAATAATTTAAAAACTGTGTTTTCTAAAACTGCTATTTCAGTAAGGTCAAATATGGAACTGACATTTTAAGAAATATTTTTCTTTGGTACATAATCTGTTTACCTTCCATGGCATCCAAAGAATCCATCTTTTGCAGTACTGAATAATTAACAAAACATAAAGGCTGGCTGCTCCTCTTGATTGTCAATAAATCCAAAATACACTGGTGCAAAAAAATGTATTGTGCCTACAAAACGTGAAAATTAAAAGTTACTCAACTTAGTTTATTTATAGATGGAGAGTCTGCTGCTAACTGGAAAATATTTTGAAGCTGTTTTGGAATATCTAATTGATTGCTTTTAGGAAAAGAGCATTTTTTACAGTAAATCTGTCATCTTTGGGAATCCTTAATGAGTTTCTAAGAGTTTCTGAGTTATTGTTTGTCCTTGGAAGAGGATATGAAATGATGCTTCTTGCTTCCGTAACTTTGAATCAACTTCCTGCTCTCAGGAAAGAATTGCTCTTTCAAAGAAACACAGCACTGTTCTCCATGATTGGAACTCACAAAAGCAACAGAATTCTACAATCCACACACTACATATTTGAACAGATCTATGAGGCGAAATACTAGATCAATAAAAATGATGGTAAGAATCCCAGTCAATTCACCTGCCATCGAAGGATGAAGTCAAACAACAATGATGTATTGAAAATCAAATGGAGTTTTGTATTGCTGCCACCAGGAAGGATCAGTTGGAAAGGCAAGGACACCTCTCCCTTAAGCTATTGCAAAAACAAAATTGTTCCTGATCCAAGAGAATATACTGTCCTAAAATGCATTGATAGCATGATCTGTGTGAGAATCCAGGAGAAACATGTTATATGTCTGGAGCTCCCCTGTGGAGTGACATGTGCTCAGATGAAGTCAAGGCTAGCTTTCTCCATTAGAGTATTCTAGATTGAGTCCACTACATGTTTACGTATTTCAGCTTCTTTATTACTTGAATGCAAAGTATAAGAGGATAATTACAAATTGGCAGTGAAGTGGAATCGTAATAGTTCCTTTAGGTCTAGAGGCATCTCAAGACCTGCTTAGGTAGTAGTCACTTTTGAGACTGGTTATTGACACTTTATCTACAGCAACATAACTGGAATACAGATTTACACAACTTAACAATGTAGATATGTTCTTAGGCAAATTATTACTTTAACAGAAAACATAGGTTTTTAAACATCTTACCAGATTCTGAACCATACACATCCTTTCACTTCTCAGCTCTGCTACAAGTCCATAGATGTCCACAAAGTCATGGTCATTTATATGTTGTGTTAAATGGTCAAGAGCAACATAAACACCTGTTCTTCCAACTCCAGCACTACAAAGAACGAATGAAGCATCTAAACATGAATGCCAATTCTAAAGTATCTGATAGATAATTACATTTGCAGTAAAATGGAATTACAGTTGGAATAATGCTGATTGTCCCTGGTACCTTTTGTTATATAAGGACTTTCATATTCGCCAGCTTCCTATAACATGATACAATCAAAATAACAGGAGCACTTTTGTTATGTGCCTTCAAGTTGATATTGAGATAATGTGACCAACCAAATGCCACCCAGCATGTTTCCATGGCTGAACAGGGAGTGAAAGTTAGATCTCTTGAAGACTTGGTCCAACATTCAAACATGCTATATTATACATAGTGAGAATTTGTTTGTCTTGTATGGACTCCGAATGTTTTGGTTAAATGCCTATTTATATTTATGAATTTTTTTTATTATAATGGCATAGTTGCAGATATCCCATTGTGTTTCCTAATTTGCTAGTCCACACTTTTGACCAACTTTTGGCTTTTCATCAATTGATGACTCACATATATGAAACAAGATTTCCTACACTTCCATGGTTTTAAGAAATGACTGTCTCTTTGCTTTAGGAGCAATTATAGCATTTTCCTATGTCCCGGTTTTCCCCTCCTGCTATTGTGACCCTATCAACAATAAGCTTAATGATCACCGGTTCTCAAATTAACTAATGAGGTTGCCTAAACTGGATAAACTATGTTTGTGTTTCTAACAAACTGATGCTTTGATTCAGTGTTATGTTTCTATTGCAAAACATGATTTGCTTACCTGCAGTGAACAACTATGGGTGTACTGTCATGTGCTCGGCTGGCACGGATTAGCTTTACAAAATGGACTAATGATGCACTTGTTTCAGGTACTCCATGTTCTGGCCAGGCAGTAAAGTTACACTGACGCACCATCATGCAATCCCCATGCTTGCAAGGACAAATGGAAAGAAATTAAAATATTGGTTTTGTAATCTGAGAGGTCATTGAGAAGCATTCTGTTCAGTTTTTTTGCATTCTACTAAGTTGTTCCATATAAGAAGTTTTCTATTGATCAGTTAGCACAAAAGGACACAGATAATGATTAAATAATGTAATTTCCCTGATAAAATAATGAACATTGTTGGAATATTAATATTGTTAACCATTGATTTTTCTGACAGTAAGATACATTTGCACTTGTTAAAAAGCTTAAGGATATCATAGAGAAATAAAAGCCATTAGGAATAATAGATAATCCACCTCCTAAAAATATTACAAGCTAGATGTTAAGAAAGTCCGGACTTGTTTCATATGTTGTGGTCATATCATGTAGTCAATCAAAAAACACCTCCAAATTCAGCTGTCAAGACGGAGTCATACCTGAATGTATTCCATTTAGTATCTCATTACCCAGTGGCATAACACTCAATAACCTTTGGGTGAATGCACAAACTGCCTCCTTTGCTGAAAGCTCTAAGCCTGAGTGATGACAATAAAAAGCTGTTTCTGCACTTTTCATCTCTGACCACTGCTTCATCCAAGTAAGTCATCACTCAATGTTTCAATCAGAGGGTGATGAATTTGTAGGTGTGAGCTCATCCACAAATTTATGTATGTCTTTTGGGCCAGATGGATCGTATACTGGAGTTATACAACAAGTGTCATAGCAGCAATAAGGCAAATTAAGACATGAGGATATCTCTTTTATTTTACAGAATTGTTACTAATAATAACTGTTTAAAATAAGTGATAAAATACATAGATTTCTTTTAAAAAATTAGATGAATACTTACCCTTTCTATTTTCAAATCCCTTATAGTCCAGTCTATTTGAATATCTTCCACTAATTTGGTAATCACTATATCTCCAAAAACAGTCACTGGTATATTGTCTTCAGGCCAGTACTGATGACATCTTATCTGCAATCAGGATGAAACAACATGCATCATAAAAAAGATCACATGCAAGTTTATTTGATGCATAACTGGTTGTTATAAAGCACAGTTTTCATCTGAATAACTTACTCGTCCTTTTTCAAAACACTGAGAGAGCATAACAAGGGTTTTTGCTCGTGTTTCCCATACCATTCTCCAGAAATCTCCTACTGTCCCTGGTAGCGGTCCTTGGGTAGCAATAAATTCATTTGGACATAAATAGCCCTATGGAGCAAAATGATATTAATAAATATCAATAAAGAAAACAATTGCACCCGTTAATTAATTCCATCATTTGAAATCAAAGCTTTACATAACTATACTCTTAACAAAAATGTTCCTCTTTAGTATATAAGGACCTCCAGAATGTTACTTAATCTGAAAATTTAGTTTATTGCCATTGGCATTCAGAAAGAAAGTGCTAAAGATAGGTGGAAGCCAAGGGCATTGATCTTTAGGGCTTTGACCACTGAACAGTAAAAAAAAAAGAACCATAAAATGCATTTTGGTATTTGAAGAGTCTGGACAAAATCTATAATTTTGGTTGCTAAATTTGGAGGTAGAGCAATAATGCATTTTCCCCGGGTCTATTTCCACTTAACAGCAGTCTTGAACCTTTAGTAAATTTCCAAGTGAGCATTTATCATAATTACCGGTAACTAAGGACACCAGCATGTTTACCAATAAGGGTATTTAATCATACACATGTGAGACATGCAACCATTTTTGTAGAAGTGAGTGTTTCTTTACAGACTTCCAGTTGGATACTTGTGCCCTTTGTGAGAGTACTTTCAATCCTTCCTCCAGGTCCTCTGAATTTTCTGAATTTTTCACTAGCAAACACTCAACAGTCTATTGCCCCCAAATATATTCAGTTATTGGTTTCTTTTAGAAAAAAAATATTTTTGCAAACATTTTGATGTCCTTCCAACACTTTCTCTTGTGTCTTGAAAAATTTGACTAAACAAAGAGCAACACTTATATCTGAATTTCAGAAACAAACCTTGTAGAATACTACCACTAAGACACAGGAATCTAAAACCATATATACAGATAGAGTGCGCCCTTGACATCTTCTGGGGTTTTGTTCTAGGAAGCACCATGGATTTTAAAACTCATGGATGCTCAAGACCCATCTTATGCAATGACCTAGTAAAATGGTATTTCTTATATAAATGGTAAAATCAAGGTTTACTTTGAGGATTTTTAAAAACGTGGAATCCGTGGATACAGAAGACCAACTGTATTTGTATCCGTTGGTCTTCTGTATCTGTGGATACAGAAGACCAACACGTTTATGCATGCAACATATGTACCCATATTCAAATAGCCCCGACCCTACAATACTGTCTGTATGACTCTTCTTCCTTGATTCTATAAATACTTGAAAATAGATGTGACATAAACTGTGTTATGAAGGAAGACTGGCACTGTTATTACGATGCTTCCTTTTGTTAACTGTTCAGTCAATTTTAAGAATAAAAGGTAATTGGATATGAATATAAGTCTATGTAGTTCAACATCCTAATGGAATAAAATGCACATAGCAAATATAAAGTTTTGCTTTGCAAAGTTACAGTCCCTCACCTCATTCTTGCTATAGAAAGGATTAACACAGCTTTTCCAAGCCACCTGTTCTGTATATTAAGTATCAGATGACCAATAAACAGCTGTGAATTACTTGACCTGTAAGTATCTAGATTTTTACTTGACGTGAGTTTAATTCCATCAAGGACTAATCATTCTCCAGTGTGAATAAACCCTGGAATATCTTCTGTAGAGTCAATAACAGCAAAAGTCAAATGCAGAGAATGTATGCTAATGGTTTTGAATTGCACCATTTTCTCCTACATTGATTTTATTCTAATGCTCTACTCAAAACATAGAAAATGACCTAGTCTTCTCACCACAATAAAAAGGAACTGCAGAAGGAACACAATAAATTGACATAGGACACTTATAAGAGAATACAGATATAAAAGTAACAGAAAGTGTCAAATCTGAAACAATAATCAATTTTTATAATGATATGTTAGTTAAATAGATATATTGATTTCAGCTACTAGATATTGCTTTATGTTCCTAAGATATAAAAAATAAGCCATAGGCCAGTTATATTAATAATAGGATAGCCTATTGCCTTATAGGAGTGTGTAATCCCACCACTACAATAAAGTAGTATTATGGAGATTATAGCAAACACACACACACACACAAATATATATATGATTTTTTAAATCTTCAGATTCTGATCACTCCGTCTATAGCAAAGACAATGGAGTATTTGGGCTTCAGATACCTATACTAAGGTTTGGCATGCATCAATAACCAGCAGAAGTTGAATTAAGTAAAAAAGTTCAAGCCACATAAGCCAGGATATCCAACCAAACAGCATTAACTTGATATACGTGAATATAAAATTAGGACTAGAATTGTAAAACTATGTCATGAACCAACAGAAGAAATAATACAAGAAAAATTATTATATAAACTACATTTCTTTTTTAGAAGATTAAAAACAAGGAAAATGTGATACCAATTACAATTGATTCAAAACTTACAGAAACATAGCTGGCGTTGATGTAATCAGATCCAGGTATACTTGCATCAGGCATTAACTTAACTCGGTTGTTGTTATCTGCAGTAGAAATAAAAGCAAGGCAATTACTTATTTCAAAGTACTAGTCAAGAAGATAAAACAAATCACTTTGACAGATTAGACTGATAGATATAGAAGTAAAGCAGTATTGTGGTGTTATAGTGTAATAGTTTATGGCAATCATATTTCTATATCCAATATTGGATAGGCAGGTTCCTCCTGTCATGTCAGAGCTTTCTTCCCTTCCCATTTGCCTCTACAGTCTTTTCTGTAGCCTAAAATCTAGCTCTTAGGGGGTTTTAAGCCCTCTACAGACAATTGTGGGGAAGAACTGCTGTTGAAGAGAGGAGGGAGTATTCCCATCTTGGTTCCACTGACAGAAGCAGTTCTACTATTAATAGATCCCTGCTACAGCTATCTTCATAGAATTAAAGGTTCGTGATGCTTTTGTTTCATTCATCTATGTACAGCCTTTATTAAGTAATAACTCCTGGTTGTTCTTCTCTAACTCCCCCAGGAGTACTTCTGTCTCATCTGGATAAAGTTTCAATTTGTTTTCCTTCATCCAGCCCATTACTGATGACAGACACTGGTTTAGGGTCAGGACAGCTTCCTTGACTTTAGATGGAAAGGAGTAGTAGAGCTGGGTGTCATCTGCATAACAGTGGTAGTACTGAAGGTATTGTTGTGGTGGACCTTCAAGTCATTTCCAACTAATTGTGACACGAAGGCAAACTATAATGGGATTATCTGTGGTTAAGAATGTGTGACACAAAATCACCCAGTGGGTTCCCATGGTCAAATGATGATTTGAACCCTGGTCCTCAGAGCCATAGTCTAACACTCAAACCACTACTTTCTGAGATGTTCTGATATAGATTGTAAATTCATGTCTTAAAATAAATGTGGTGGTTTAAGTCTAATATGGATATCACTTAGTCTTCCAGACATTGCTGGGTGATAACTCATAGCAACTCAAGCTGTCAGAACCATTGGTGAAGATTGCTGAACATCGCAATTTAACAATTTATAAAGGCCTGCATAATTCCCATCTCAGACTAAATCCAGTGTTAGAGTATATCCACTGCAATCAACAGGTTAGTAATGACTAATATATCCCTTTAATTTCAATGCACCCACTCTCGCTAGGGAAAATACTAGATTAGGCCTTTCAAAAGTGGCAATTCTGTTAGTGCATCAATCCAAGTTATATCAAAAATCTACAATAAACACTAAGATTTAGTATTGGTAAACAGAATAAAGGCTATGTCCTGAACCCACTGAAGATAACAGGAGCAGCTGTTACAAAAAATTAATAGCACAGAATGTGGCTACATTAACAGAGGAATGCTATGCCCCCCATCTCACATCACAGTTAATGCTTAAAATAATAATGGCAATTCTTGTCTTATTAAGTGAAAAATGAAGCAGTGTTAAACTACAGAGAGGCAGACTTCTGTCTCCTGTGATAATATCTATCCCGGACTTACAAGTTACCATATATTCACTCTGATCTTTAGTGGAAGTCTTACAAAGTCTATTTACAAGTATCCTTATGAATGCATGACTGTGTTCCAAGGGAAACGAACATAAAAATAATGGATTTTACATATACATAGCACACACACACACACACACACACACATTATATTTTTTCACTACACTAATAGATGTTCATTAAGTTACAAAGTGAATTATTTAAAGGTTATATGGACCAATTAGTTAAATAATGAATCAGCATGTAAGTAAATCCCATTGATACAATAGTTCTGCTCTAATTGGAACTAACACCATATTTTCTGAAACTTCACAGATTATAACTGAAAAATGCAACATCAAAGTGTGGTCAAGATATCAAAAGTAATTAATGGGGAAAAACAAACTGGGAGAGTCTATAGCAGCTGAAGAAAAGGGGGCAGGGAATGAAATGGGAAATTTTTAAAAAGTAACTGAAAAAGTGAAATGGCAAAGGATTAATTAGGACTGATTGCCAAATTAAGAGACTTGGGAGGACAGGATTCAAGCTACAATTTCATATAGCACTAGCTTAATATGTGTGAGAGAAAAGCACATGATAATCAAAAATAACTTTTAATAAAATATGAAAAACTCAATAGAGTTTACAGTAAGAAATGTTGATGAGTTATGTACAAGCTCCGGTTTGCACTGAGAGCCACCTCACCTCATTTAAACACCAAAGTAGAACTAAAAGCTCAAGATGCATTTCACAAATAGAGAGTTAGAGAAAAGAATAAATAGTACATACAGGGTTTGATGTTTGGAAAACGGTTTTTAGACCTGTTCCATGGAAGATCGGCATCTGTGGCGGCAAGATCTGGAAGAAACTTGGGAAGTTCCTATAAAGTAATGCGTACATTAGAATCTCTTTCAACTTGCTTTAATAGTAGTAATAGTAGTAGTAATAATAATAATAATAATAATAATAATAATAATACTTTATTTGTACCCTGCCACCATCTCCCCCAACTGGGACTCAGGGCAGCTCACATGAGGCCAAGCCCAAACAATGAATTACAATAAAATACAATACAAATTACAATAAAATAAACAACATCGCAATAAAGTACAAAGCATATAAATACAATAAGCAATATACACAAAGCATAGGAAAGCAATAAACAACATAATTGACAGTGGGCTACATGTGCAATAAAATGGTTTAAAAAACTCATGGTGAGATAAAAGGAGCAGATTATTTGCATGAGGGAACTCATAGAGAAACAGTGTAATAAACATACCTCTGTACAAGGGGGGTACTCCTAGGTCAAAATGTTGAGGGGGGGAGGCAATAGCTAAAGCTTGTGTGGCTACTCTCCAAAAGCGCAGCAGCAGAGCCAAGTCTTGAGATTCTTTTTAAAGGTTTCTAAGGTAGGGGCTTTCCTAATCTCACCGGGCAATGAGTTCCAGAGTCGGGGAGCCACAGAAGAGAAGGTTCTCTCCCTTGTACCCAAAATATCATTGGATCAGAAGTAAATATACACTGGAAATGCACAGATCTAATAAGATCTTATTAATACACATAACTTATATACTTATGTGTAAGTCTAGAAATTTTAGTCAAAAACCAACCCCCAAAACCTGGGTCGACTTGTACATGGGTCAATGTTTGTACTCAGCTTTTATCAAAAAATGTTCCTTTCTCTGAGCAGAGTGGCAGAAGACCAGTGCTTAATCTATCCCTGGAGAATCTAAAAGGAGCACCAACTCCATTACTCTCTCTACTGTGACACCACTTCTGGACTTTTTGAATGCCTGGACAGGAAAATGGTGGTTGGTAGCTAGGAATGACTCTCAAGTTATACACAGGTCCTATTACAATCCACATCGAAATATATAATTTTGGCCTTAAAACCTTCAGTTTTATACATGAGATTGACTTATACATGAGTATATTAAATAATTAATTCCATGAGAAGTGATGTAAAGATAAAGGTAAAATTTTCCCCTGACATTAAGTCTAGTTGTGTCCGACTCTGGGGAGTGGTGCTCATCTCAATTTCTAAGCTGAAGAACTGGCATTGTCCGTAGACCCTTCCAAGGTCATGTGACCTGCATGACTGCATGGAGCACTGTTACTTTCCCACAGAAGCGGTACCTATTGATCTATTCATATTTGCATGTTTTCGAACTGCTAGGTTGACAGAAGCTGGAGCTAACAGTGGGAGCTCACCCCACTCAGATTTGAACCACCAACATTTCAGTCAGCAAGATCAGCAGCTCAGTAGTTTAACCTGCTGTACCACCAGGGGGCAGGAAAAGTGGTGTACAGAAGATAATATATGTAATTCTACTTATGATACTTTTCTGGCACTGTTATATAAATGAACATCTTATATTTCATACATTGTTTTCTTAAATGATATGAGGATAAAAATGATCTTTGTGCTCATTATTAGAAATGTTTACTTGTGAAATGTTACATTCTGGAATACTAACATGCATTTATTGCAAAAATATTTTTTTCATGTTTCAAGGCATTCTGGCATTTGCCGTTATGAAAGAAAATGTACAGTGATGAGCTCAAATGAACTATTGGATTCAATGGAATGATTCTAGTATAAGGAAAGATGGGGGCAGGGAGGATTATGCAAATATATTGGATTTCTAAAGGCAGCTGGTAACATTACAGAAGCCTTTCACCTCTCTGTCAAACCTTGTTACATCCACCATGTCAAACGCTAAGCTGCAGAACAGACTGTCAGGCTGAACTATCTAAGCTTATATGAACTTTCACCTTAGAAGTCTTGATAAAGTCAGTCTATCATCCTCTTTGTCTTGTGCAGCTTTTAAAGGAAGGAGTCAAATAGGGAAGTCCTTTCCTTGAGCCATTTTATGTAGCAAGAGCAGCCTAATTGACTAGGTCTCAATAAACAGTAATGCATTTATTTTATTTTATTTTATTTGAACAATTGTTACCACTACAGAATTAGCAAGTATTTATTTAAAGAGAGACACCTGGAAAATTGTTTTTCTTCACTGAATTCTGTCCTGATGGTAGAGGAAAAGAAAATATATGTTGGGCATAAGAACTAGGGATAAGGGAAGAGATGAGCAAATACATCCCTTCCCTGATGTTGGCACAAGGAATGAAAGTAGCAGATTAAGGCTTATAAAATGGAATATATCAATAAACCCCAAAACATTTTTCTGTTAAGAAAAAATGAAACAAAATATGTGTATGAAATAAAATTATTAAAGTTTATCATTTTGTCCCACAATTTGTAGTGACATCAATTTACTCCCAAGAAAGCCATTTACTTCTCTAAGTAACATCATACTACTGATCTCCCCCCGCCCTCCACCCCGCATCATCTCCTTGAGCAATTTCACTGCATTTACGGTTCTTTTTGTACTATTTTATGGCCCCAAAGGGTGTTTCCCCCCACTAAAAGTAAATGACCTGGAAGTTAAATTTTGACTCACTTCCTGCTGAAAAAAGGCCCCTCTTGGGCATAAAAGTGTAGTAAAATTATATACACACATCCTAAAAAGGGGTGCTTTAGGAATTTTGAATAAATGGGAATGGGGTCCCAGATGCCATCCATGAACTACATCCTTCCCGACTCACCAAAATAGTGAAAATGGGGACAAGAAAGGAGCACCCCAAAAGAGTTGAGTTATCCAAGCTCCAAATCTCCTCCAGTCCAAAGCTATAGACACAATGTTGACATAAATGTCAACCGAAGTAAGAGGAATTCTAAGTAGGTTTTTGCCGACCCAAACTTGATGGACGGTTTAGCTGCCCTGTGGCCATCTTAGCTACTTAGGACTATACAGTGTTAGTTAACTGGTTACTGGTCAGCTAGTTAGATTTTATTAGCTGAGTAGTACAACATAACATGACTTTACATCTAGCTATACTGGTAACTTCTGCTCTTTGGATGGAAAAAAGCTTCTCATTCACTAGTCCAGGGGTCCTCAAACTAAGGCCCGAGGGTCGGATACAGCCCTCCAAGGTCATTTACCTCGCTCAGGCTTAACCTAAGTCTGAAATTACTTAAAAGCACACAACAACAACAACAACAACAACAATCCTATCTCATCAGCCAAAAGCAGAACCACATTGAAATACTAATAAGTTTATATTGGTTAAAATTGTTCTTTATTTTAATTATTGTATTGTTTTTGAGGTGCTATGATTAGGATAATGATTGTTTTTTGATATTGATTGTTATGTAGAATGTATAATGTGTTTTAATTTGCTTTGATACTGTCTTGTGATAGTCTGTATTATGTAAACCGCTTTGAGTCGCCTTTTGAGAAGAGCCTAAGGGCTGAGAAGAGCGGTATAGAAATAGAGTAAATAAATAAATAAATAAATTTTTATGTGTTTTTTGCACTACAAATAAGATACGTGCAGTGTGCATAGGAATTCATTCATGTTTTTTCAAATTATAATCCAGCCCTCCGACCGTTTGAGGGACTGTGACCTGGCCCTCTGTTTAAAAAATTTGAGGACCCCTGCACTAGTCCATGCTCAAAAATATCATCTGTGAACCCTTTATTAAATACAGACCAAGACTGCTTAAATACCATGACCAAGAATCCATAGAAAATACTATTAATCTTCTCACTCTTTTGTTATTATCTAAAGGATGAAATAGTATAATCTAACAGTATAACTGTCAATTGATTTTTTTTCTTCATTATTCATATATCCAGACAATGAAGAATTCATGGTAAATCTATAAAACCGAAACAATAAAGCCATTGGAGAATGACAAATGATTTGGAGGATAGGAAATGTCTCCATGCAATGGTGAACATAATGCTTCTGAGAGACGAAAAAAGGCATCTATTTTTGACATTTTAAAAACTTGATATCCATGTAAAAGAAGTTACTTACAAAAACAATGAAAAGTCCAAGGCTTAAGCACAGTATTGATGTGACATAGTTATTATATAAATGTCATGGATATTTTGGAAAACCTATCTGTTTTCAATAAGAATCAAGACTTACACTACTGCTAGATAAGACACTGTCAATAGTGATTTTATTACTTGCAGTTAACTGTGGACTACTGTGACATCCTACTGAGATAAATGAAAGGTAAACATGAATAATATAATGCCATGATCTTACTTAATTCCCTTATACCAAGAACTTACTTGGAAGATTCAGTAGTATCTGTATATGTATAATGTGAATTTGGGCACAAATTGGCTATAATATTATTGGTTAATTCCAAGTAGAGTTGACTCACTGAATCAATTATTGAATGGCAAATCAACACAGAAATAAATCCAGCTAATTCAATGGATTTACCCTAATTGGGCCTAAGAAAAACATCCATGCTACAATATGTTGGTGGAATCTGAGTTGGTGTAAATTAAATGTCTTCAAAAGCTAGTTTGCTATCTTTCTGCATCCTATTCCAGAAGAAGACAACAATGATATCTTGCCATCACACAGTCCGCTACCGAGCACAATTCAAAGTGCTGGCTTTAGTCTATAAAGCCGTAAATGGTTCTGGCCCAGCTTACCTGTCCGAATGTATCTCCCCCTATGAACCATCTTGGAGATTAAGATAATCTGGGGAAGCCCTACTCTCAATACCTCCCCCCTTGCAGGTGCGACTGGTGGGGAAGAGAGACAGGGCCTTCTCAGTGGTGGCCCCTCAGATATGGAACTCCCTCCCCAGGGAAATTAGATCAGCCCTCTCCCTCCTGACCTTCAAGAAAAAGTCAAATCGTGGTTGTGGGACCAAGTGTTTGCACAATGATTCCCAGTGCAATAATGGTTTCCTAGTGTAACAATGAACAAAACAAATGACAATTTGGAATGGCTCCTGGAATACGTTTTTTGGATTATGTGATTTTAAATAATGTTTTTAAGTGTTATGTTTTAATTATGGGATTTTAAAGTATATGTTGTTCTATTTTGTATGTATTAAGGCATGAAATAGTGCCTCTGTTGTGAGCCACCCTGAGTCCCCTTCCTGGGTGAGAAGGGCAGGATACAAGTGTGACAAATAATAAAAATAAAAATGGTTTAAATTAAATGTCTCCAAAATCGAATTTGCTGTTTTTCTGCATGTTATTCCAGATAACTTGCCATCACACAGTATTAAAATAATCCACTTTCTACAACTACAGGTGCACATGGAATAAATAATCCCTTAAACAGTAGCTATGCAGGGAAACAGCTAAAGATTTTTGTCAGCAGACTGATAACACGATCCTAACTCAATGATGCACAGGCTGCAGAGGGTGAGGATTTTGCATATCACTTTCACTGACAGAAAAGTTCTTCTGTTCAGAGATATGCCAAGAGCAATCTATCAGAAGAACTACTCTGCTGGATAAGATCTGTTGGCAGAAGAGGATTGTGGTAAAGAAGGGTGATGTGAATCATGCCATGCCAGATCCTGAACTTCTCCAGTTTATTTTATTTATTTATTTATTTATTTCCTATATTTATACCCCGCCCTTCTCCCCCCGATGTGATCTAAGTTTTGTAATATCATCCTTGTACAAATCTAATAAATATCCATCAGTTAATATTTCAGAATATAATTTTAGTAATAATGTCTATCTTCTGTCCCTACTTCCTTGACCTGTAATCCAGCACCACTAATCTGCTTTAGTGAAAGAGAATAGGGAATGTTTGGCCCACTTCTTCCTGAATGTAGCAGATTATTGCTTTGAGCACAGAATGGTGGATCAAGGAACTAATCAAATACTCACATTACAAAAAGGAATAGCCTTGTCCTAGCAGTCACACACAGCAAAATGGAATAAAATGAAGAAGCAGTTCTTACCAAATCAAATGGATTGGTTTCAAATGTGAATGAGTAATCACTTCCTTCCCACAAATCAAATATAAATTATCCTTTGGTAGAGATGATTCAGTCAATCTGTACTTTGGCTAGTGATGAGAGGAAGATTTGAACTGCCCTTGGATCCTCTTCCATCCTGAAACTTTCCAGGGATTACATACTCTCTCCCAGCTCCTCATTGGAACATTCTAGGAAACTTTATTATTAATCTCAAACAAATCATCAATACTTTTTCTGCTGCAGAGGAAACTTAAGATGGCTGTTTTACAAATAGTTCTGCTCTTACTGCAATAAGAAGATACTAGTACCCAAACAGGTGTAATGTTACTTTCCAAACAATCAAGCTGGTAATTGGGTATTGATGATCAAGGGCCCTGCCTGCTTAAAATGGACATGAAATGTGACACATGAAACAAATGAAGGTCTTGCAATGTTGTGACAACTGCTGGTAACATACCGAAAATTCCTCCTGAAACTTTAAGTTGTTGTTTGCACAAAGCTCTTCAACATGTTGTAGGAAACATTTCTTGCCTATAGGCCTAGACATAAGGGAGAACATATTATCAGAAAAGAAGAATGGTTTTTAAAAGAGCTGTTTAACCATTAGAACATTACAGTGTTGTCATTCTGATTGTTCACAAGGTGAAATTAAGCATAATCATATGCAGAGTTTACAAAAGGGAGTCCTTTGTGTTTGGAATTATTTTGAAGATACAATATCTATTTTCTCATTTTAAACCTCCCCTAATTTTGGCTGCTATAACACAACTTCTGTCTACAAACTGTGATTTGCAAAGGTCACAAATCCAAAATGCACTCTTTTGATATTTATGTATGTTTGTAAAGTCACCTTTCAGTTCAGTTCAAGCACATAATGCTTCTTTTGTCACACAGAAATCATTTTATACAATGCAGGGCTTTAGATATATAAAATACTGCAGTGACTTCATTCCCATAATGACATGGTTTTTAAACCCCAAGGAGTTAAATATCCTTGTATTACTTGCCAAGCTAAAACACAGACATGCAGGCTTCACCCCAGAGAGAGAGAAAGCATTTCTCCAGTTACCATGCAATTAGTCATGCTTTTATGATTTATGCACAGCTTGGAGCTTTTTCTAATAAATATACAAAAGGGAACCACACATTGCGAATCAGCAAACTAGCAGTTGTATAGACACAACGTAAAAATCAACAGTGAACTTACTTGATGGATTTTCTATAACTAAGTAACCTGCAACAAAGATTGTGTTCAAAGAGTTAAGCTTTGAGTCAAGCAACACTTTGAATTCCAGTTAAGTTCTAGATATAACAGAGAAAGAAAATTAAGGAGTCAATAATACATTCAGTATTTCCAAGGGGTTAGTTCTAAAGTTTTTTTTCCTGTTGAGCCACTGCTAAAAAAATATGTTAAAAGTTGTTTTCTTAGCGATAAGATACTAACACCCTGAAATATCATTTGATTTGTGTAGTTTAAAGATCATTTATATATTTTATAGTGCCTAATCAATGAAAGTTGAATTTAATAGATTAAAAAGAAAAAGAAAAAACGGAGTATGCAAGACTTGAGGCTCTAAAGACACCAGATCCCATCTGATCTTGGGAGCTAAGCAGAGTCAACCCTGATTAGCACTTAAGTCCCATCTATACTGCCACATAATGTGGCACAAGAAATGGATTAGCCTGGGGCATTCAAACAACTCACCAAACAAATCTGTTTCAACTTAGAATAAACCTGGTTTGTCAGGTTTAATCCAGGTTGTAAAAAACCTCCAAACACCTGGACCTTCTCTGTTTGTCTCCACAGCTATCCTGCCTCCTTGAACTTATGCAGCCTCCTTTCCCTGCCCTCCCTTTTGTCCTGTACTTAATAGGTAAAGCCTCCAGATAGATGCTTCCCTTCCCTTCCTGGCACCTTGAACAGACATCAATGGGCTTTGGAGAAGGGAGGGAGAAATCCCTCCCCCTCCAAAGCCTTGGGAAGGGAAGCATTCAAGCCTGGCAAAAAGGAGGACAGGGCAGAGAGTCTGGCAGTACCCCTGCCCACATGTGCTAATTGTGTATCGGTATGTGGCCACCCCTCCAACAGACCGGTAGGTTTTGGGACCCCCATCTGGCCACAAAATGCCAAGGGAATTGGCATTTTAAACACCAGTTTATTTTACATTTTGTCCAGTGTAGAAGGACCCTCAGATGGAAGGCTGACAGTGAATGCCAGATACTGTAGACTATAGTTCAAGGAAGGAACTGGCAAAACTGTTTCTGAGCATTTGTGCCTAAGACAACCCTGTGGAAACCATGAAGCTGCCATATCTCTTCAGGTGACTTGAAGGCAGACATGCACACACATGCAAGATTAGTGTTTTCAAATATTTTTGCAAATTCTTGGACATACCAGGCACAGAAATTCCATGCATCAAGGAAAGCCTTATTTTGGCTTGAGATATCACAAGTAGATCTCTCATATAAAGAGCTTTTCAAAGAATATGCTAAGTGTGGCATGTAAAGTGATACACACTTGAGTTCCAAATATCCGACTTACAAACAACTCAAAGTTAGAATGGGGCTACGACAACAGGAAGTGAGAGAAATCTGCCCTTTGGAAGGGAAATTCACTTCTGGAAGAATTATCACAGGGTGAAAAGGTGTCTCAACAGAATCTTTCTCACCAATCCTTGTTTCTACAATAAGCCAAATATTTCATAATCCAATGATCACAGGGGTAGAAAGTGAGGTGAAATCATCTGAATAGGGGCACAGACCATAAAATAAACACCACAGAGGTGTTAACCCTTCCCTATGCTCTATCTATCTATCTATCTATCTATCTATCTATCATCTATCTATCTATCTATCTATATGGAGTTACACTTAAAATTTACTTGTTCCAACTTACATGCAACTTAAGAACAAATCTACAGAACCTATCTTGTTCATAACTTGGAGGCTGCCTGTATCTACATTTCATGTATATATACATGTGTTTGTTCTCAGGACCAGTATAAATTGCTTAGCATCACAGACCACCAGTGGCCAATATCCTGTGATCAGGGAGTGGTTTGTATGTAGTTTTACATTTTATTCCTTCTGGTAATGCTGTTCAAGTGTCAGATGCTCTCCTGAACGTATATCTCCTTCTAGTCAATTTTGTTCACACACATGATTAATTTCAGGCACTGAGTGATTATCCAAGAAGCCATTGGGATGACTGTACATTGCTCAAAGAAGGGCTGCCTGCTGAATTCAAAGTGATAAAGTACACTTTCTTGTACTATTTTGGTATGGGATTTAGGCCTTCAGAATCTGTGAAACAACCAAAAATAAAGCGCTACACAAAATTAGGTTTACCTAGTGTAAAGTATTACAAGATTTCTGTATCTTTACAAAAATGGGAATTTCATCAGTTGTTGAAGATGGACTACTATAATCTATCCTGGAAAATGAAATTGTAGTAGAAATAACATTCATAGCATTCACAGGCTATTTCCATTTGTAATAGAATACAGAGGGATGACAGAAACAAAGAGTTGCAGCAAAGAGCACATTTCATTGAAGTGGTTAATCTACCCTAAGGTTTGGTTTGGACTCTAAAAGTAAAATCAAAGCTACTGAATCACATCACCTTAATGATTCAGCACCTTGGATAGGTCTTTTACAGTTTAGATATGGAAGAGATTTGCCATCCCACTGACATAGGAGTCATCAGCTGTTACTACTTCTAGTCCTTTTATTAAATATTTCTAACATCAGCAAGTTTTCCACATTATCTTACACCCCGATAAAGAAGCTGTCTTCTGCTCATGTTTTGCTATTTTGTCCTCTTTTTCTAAGATTTTTTTTTTGGATTTTATTCCAATTATTCAAGGAACTGTTAAAATGCTGAACATATTATGGTTCACTTTTTTGAAATATGGAATGAGACCTAAAATTCACTTCTGACATGGAAGCAATAAGCTGTCCTCAGACTGCATAATAATGAATGACAATTAAAGAAAATTTTGCACTGTTCCATTATCTGGGCAGACTCCAAAAGGGGACCTAGACAGAGAAGGGTAGTCTATGTTATCGGGGACGGGGGGTTGATGGAGAAAAACCATTTTTTCCAATATTTGCTCGTTATCCCCACCTTCCCGTGTCATAAACGATGGCCATTTTGATGATGGTGACATGCATGGGAGGAATAACAGGAACAGAGGGGAAGTGATTTAACTCCTTCAACACCCCTCCCCCCTTCCGTAAAATGGACTATCCTTCTCTGTTTAAGCCCACTTGTGACCTCTGCCCGGATAATGGAACAGTACCAAAACTTTCACAATGTTTATTTTCTTATTTCAATTGAGAACTTAAGGAATTTCAGTTGTTATAGCTAACTTCAAAGTTCAGTTTCTAAAGTTCCACTTCTGCAGAACAAATTGATAATGAATGCAGCTAAGGTAAGTTTCTTTTGTTTACATAATGCAATTTGGTGCAATGAAATTTACTTAAAATGCAAAAGAGGTGCCTTTGAAAGGAGAGGACACTTTCAAGGGTGCCATTGCTGAATAAAAGTCCCGAAGCGCTTTTAAAATGTGAAGAAAGAATAATAGATACATTTTCACATTGTGTAATGTTGACTGTTTAGCTCAGCCTCAAGGCAGTAGCGAGTTGCTGGAATATTATCCGTAAACAATGTACCTCTAACCAAAGAAATCTCAGGAGATCTGTCCAATTTAGAAAAAAATAGTTTCCATAGAGCAATATGGTACTAATAAGGAAATAGCAATGTTATCTGGAGATAAACATAACAAGTTTTAAGTTGAGTAGTATTGCTGAAATTGCATTTTCTTAGAAGTAGGAATCAGTGGATTAAATCTTAATTTTTAAAAAAGAATTAGAGAAAAAACATACATCATTGGAAGTAATCCAATTTGTCTTTAAAGTACTTCTAAATTATGGCTATTAGTGTTATTTAACAATTTGGCTGGCCAAAATCTGACCCCCACCTCCTAGCGCTACCAGATCGATAATCAACCAACAGGGCAATGGTCTGCAGTGATAGGCAGTGTGATGTGTTAGGTGCAGTACAAACAGTCGCATCAACCTGTCAAAACCACAAAGGTGTTTTTGAAGCCATGTGGAAATGATAGGCAAAGAAGAAGAAAAAGACGAGGAGGAAGAGGAGGAGGAGGAAGAAGAAGAGTGGCATTTAACAATTCAAATATTTAAAGGAGAAAATGTAGTTTTGAAGAATTTGGCTTTAATTTATGGAACTGTAGGTGTGAAAAACAAATTGATGTTTTTTTCACTGTTACTGTAATTCCAAAACTGCTTATTTAATTCAAATTATTTGTCTAGATTTTTTAAAAAAGAACCCAATTATTTGTGTTGGCAATGGTGACTGGAGCTCCTATTGTCACGGAAAAAATTAGTCTACTTGCTGGATCAGTCACTTGAAATTCATTTGGAATTTGATCTTGTTCAACAGAAACATAGAAATGAATACGTACGTTAAAGGCTTAACTCATAAGCACCACAGGCCCCTGCTAGGAATAGCCAAGGAAACAATTTTGAACAAGTTAATTGAAATTTTCATAGGTTTTATCCTTCTTGGATAGTATGGAACAGTAAGTCCTTATGAGAAGCCCTTATACATATATAGATATTTAATCCAGCCACTAGGCTAAAACTCAATAACAGACAGACTATTTAATAATGCTCTAATACCTTTGTGCAGAGGGACAACGTATTTTACTATTTATCTAATGAGACTTGCAGCACTTTTTAGAGTTCCTTCTTCCTCGAAGTCAAAAGTGTCATTTAAAAAAAAACATTGAAAATAATGTCAGGCATTATGAAAATAATACTTATTTTTACTAATCTGATGTATATCACTTTTAGTCATCTGTGCTGGTGAAATGAATTTTTTTATCTGTGTTATTGTACTCTTCAATTGCTACTCTGTGATCATGGAGGATCTAGAGAACCTTACTCATAAAAGCACTTCTCAACACTCAGCTGCAATGTTTTACATGTAAAGAAATCAATCTGCATTTAATGCATCACCCATCACAGTCAGTAAGCTATGGAATACTGTTGTGTAACTATCACAAACTCTATCTCATAGTACTGATGGTATTACTTGCAGTGAGCAACACCACTAACTCATGAGTGTGCTTTTTAAAAAGCCTTATAAATGTTTCATTAAAACACACTTGAGAGGATGAAGAGCTGACCTTGAAAACAAAGAAATATTTGTTACAGAAAGCATAGAAAAGAAGTGTGCTCTTTACTGAACAATTCAGCCACCTCTTGATAGCAAATATCATGCAAATAAAATTACTCATTGCACAGGTTGGCCACTGAAAAAATGGTAGACCAATACTGAATTATCCACCCCTTCTTCTAATACAGGAATAGGCTAAGTGTAGCCTTTTTTGTCCCATTTCTAACACTCCTTGGTACTCCTCAGAATTTTTGAAAATTGACATCATGGTTAGCCATAGAAATCTGACATCAAACCACTAAATGCATTACAATCCATGAGAAAATGCAGTGTAACTAGTACCATAATCACGGCTGCAATCAATATCATATTAAGGTCTTATTAACTAAATGATAAATTAAATGTAACGTCTACTCAATCCCCTGAAGGGGATTTTCATTTTTAAAATAATACTAAGAAAGCTCATTACAATTAAGAATTTGAGAATTACTCTATTGTTTAATGCTAAAAATAAGGATTTTAACAATCCGCTTACACAGAAATCCAAAATTGGTTTCACCTACCCATACTCCTAAAAACATCCTCCCCCTGGTATTTGTTTGTGGCAATTTCTAGGTCCTCCAATGTGGTCCAATAGTATGTATCTGACTCAATATACAATCTCATCAGATGGGACTGATTTTGGCAGCATACGTCTTCTCTAGTTTAGCCACAGAGCCCTCCAGCTCCTATCCTATGACATAGAGCTACTTCTGACAGGGCCCTGTGGCTAAGTGGAAGTGGCATATGCTGCTGCCGCAGCAACACAGGAGGTTTCCCATGTTGCATTAGCAACAACAGGGAGAAGCTGGGTGGCAGGCACCTCCCCCTCCCCAATGGGAGAAGGCATGGGGTAAGTCAGGCAATGCAGAACATGGAGCGATGGGTTCTCCATCCCCCCGCCCCCCGGGCCGGTTACCATGATCAGTGGTGATTCCAGTGGCACATATGATGAGGTCCATAGTCAAAATAATGGGTCACCACTATCCACAATTTCAGGTATTCATAGGGGGTCTTGTATATCTGTCTTGGGTATGAGGGCTATACTGTATGTAATGAATTTATTAAGGATAGATGGTGGGATATTTTGGATCTCCAAAAACTGAATTGGATTTATCAAAAGATGCACATTTGTTCTAGTAGCAAAATCGCATCCCACATTTTAATGACAGTATTTCATATTCTCATTATATTCAACTGAAACACTTAGCAAAAAAAATTAAGTATACAAAATTGAATCCTGATTGTCACAAAATGCCATAGTATTTGAAATACACAGCATTTACACAGGATTTTTTCCATTGTTGTTGCATTACCAGGATTACTAGCCATATTAACTCCATGGTCATTTTTCTACTAAGCTGAAATTCAACAGTCATTTCACAGGAGGTGAGTGTTGAAAATCTTTATCCAAACTGTTCCTAAGTGGATTCATAATTCTGAGAACCTTTCTAGATTACCTTTTCAAACTATAAATATACAATTGTTGCTCTATTTTTGCATGGCTGCCAAGTCTGTTTATGATGGACTTCTATGGAAGCCTTTTTAAAAGAAAAAGTACCAAACACCAGGAATGCTTCCTCTTCTCCCATATATCCAACCATTGTGTGAATATTTTTTCTTTATTTTTAATAGTGAATTTTGTCTTATACCGGACACACATCTTCTCTCTATGTCTGTGTTGTTAAAGCTGCAGATTAGTTTTCTACTGATGGTAGGGCTGCTGATCAACCATCACTGTGTGGAACTTGATGCTTGTGATATTGGACTGGGCATATGCTAATAGAACACTACAGATAACATATCAATTTTCCTGCCATCTGGAAAGACCCTGCATTGCCTCTGATGATATGAAAACAAGTGTCACAGTACAAATATCATCATCTAGTACTAAAAAGCTCCTAAGGCACTAAGAAAAACATTTTTAGGTATAGGTTAACAGAGCATAGTATCACACAAGCAAACACAGCACATGAGAAACCATACATGGACTGTTCACCCATGCAACAACTTACTGGATAACAAATATCTCCTTCCGTCTAAAGAAAAAAGAGGAATATCTGGAAACAAAATCCATTCATTATTAAATATTCAGAAAGAGACCAGCATTTTAATTCAGATTAATCTTCTTAATAGAAACACATTGTACATAAATGCCTAGATTTAAGATATAAAAGCTTACATTTAAAAGTTGAATGGGTTCCATTTGTCTTCTACAGTGAATATTTGCATTATTATCACCAGCAATTTATTAGTCATGGGCACAGTAGCAAAGACAAAGGTTTGTGTTTCTATCCTGTAGGTAATCCTCATGTAATCCTCATTTAAAGTCTAAAATGCTCAGAAACATGGAATGCTGATCAACAGCTGACATTTATGAGCCCCCGGTGGTGCAATGGGTTAAACCCTTGTGCCAGCAGGACTGAAGACTCACAGGTCGCAGGTTCAAATCCGGGGAGAGTGTGGATGAGCTCCCTCTTTCAGCTTCAGCTCCCCATGCGAGGACACGAGAGAAGCCTCCCACATTGATGGTAAAACATCAAAACATCTGGGCACCCCCTCGGCAATGTCCTTGCAGATGGCCAATTCTTTCATACCAGAAGTGACTTGCAGTTTCTCAAGTCACTCCTGACATGAAAAAAAGCTGACATTTGCAGATACCGCTGCTACTCACCTTTAGTTTAAAGCACTAAAGTTTTTTCAGTAAAATTACATAGGGTACCAATTGTGTTTCAGCTAGTTCATGTATTAAATTAAGTGAATACTATCCCAGACATTGAATTATATCTTGTCAAAATAGCTGGTTAATCAAGTGAACTGCTTTTCTACATAAAGTGTTGGGCTCAGAAGGCTCCCTAGACAAGTGGTTCTCAACCTGTGGGTCCCTAGAAGTTTTGGCCTTCAACGCCCAGAAATCCAACAGTTGGTAAACCGGCTGGGATTTCTGGGAGTTGTAAGCCAAAACATCTGGGGACTCACAGGTTGAGAATGACTGCCCTAGACAGTTATCATAGCACCTCAGTTAAACTTGAGAAACTGCAAGTTGCTTCTGGTGTGACTTAGTTAAACTGAAGAATTCATGAGACTAAATTCATTTAGTCTCATGAAGTTGCTTTAGGGACTAAAATCATGTTTTCCAAATGCCTATTTACTTACATGCTAAGTACTTAGTAACGTACATTCTGTTCTACATTGTCTGCTCTTCTTGCTCTATTCCCGTTTTTGTCTTCAGAAAATCCTGACAATTCTAAGACATAGCCTTGTTAGTCTGAAGTATGAGTTTTCAAAGGGATCTTGAAGTACCTTACAAAACAACTGAGGGAACAAAGTTGGTAGTATAAGCTTTCATATGTTAATCTTCATCTGAAGAAGTAGACTTACTCTACAAAACCCTATGATGCCAACGTTGTTCAGTCAGTTAGTCTCTAATGTACTATAAGATCCCTTTCACATCAGTTAGGCAGACCAACTAGCTGGTCCATAATCTTCCATTGAGTATCATGGTTGATAGCTAGTAGAACTCAGCTACTGAACAGAACTCTCTGGTTCAAACCCAACTATCTCTCCATTACACCACACTAACTTTGATGCTGATAAAAAGTTGAAAAGTGGTCAGATAGCACAGAATGAGATGCTACTGAACTGCTGAGTCAAAATGAACATCAGTAACATGCACTTAGAGTATTTAGACTTATTGCATATATTTTTAAAAAAATCTTAGTTTCAATACTACTCAAAATGATTAAATATGCAATTTAAAAACATGTAGAAAAATATTTAATTATTTATATGTTGGTCTTCTTTCAAACAGGGGAAAAGCAAATGATTATCTGAATTTCTGAGAGAAGTGTCTGCAGTTCACCCTTTGAAAGAAGATCTTGATGACCTGTGTAAATAAGAAAACCACAAACACTTCCAAACAAGTAAAAGGTCACTATAGGGTCATGGCGGCAGACCTCCAGAACTACTGTTTTGCCTGAGGAGTATGCTTACCGTGTAAATCTTTCATCCTTCATTTCCAGGTCTGCCACTGTGATCAACTGATCTAGCTTGAATTTAGTGTCAATAATTTCTGCATCCCGTGGAGAGTATGTGCCCCCTTCTTTTTGCTTTTGACGAATTCTAAGCCAAAGGAAATCAAATGTTAAATATTTGTAATTCTTAAATTAACTAGATCTTTTTAAAAAGCCATTAGTACAGAAACAACAAATATAAGATGAAAAGACAAAATCTAGAAGTGACAATATATAACCAACAATTCTATTGAAATAACAGGACTTTTTTCCCTGTCATTGGTGCAAAGATTAAAGTACCAAAGTATTTTTATATTTTTCTATAAAACACAGAAACTTATGTTTTAAATCAAATTAAATGGTATAAGAGCAAATTAAATAAAGTATTAGATACTAGTAGAGCATTTTCCAAACAAACAAAAGACTAGATAATTATGTTTATACTTTCTAAGTATAATGGCTTTTGGCTCTTTTCTAATGTCAGTTTCTTATGACACTGAACTGAATTTTCAGTACAGTTTTGAAGTCTTCTTCCAGATGTCCTGTATTCACTTTCCTATGGTAACAGGCTCATGCACATGATTTCCTTTGGCTTATAATAATCATTAATGGACTCTCTCACTGTGTAGGAGGTTTCTTCAGTGTATGTGTTTGTGTGGGCACCGGGGGGGGGGGGGGGGGGGGGGGGGGGGGGGGGGATGATTGTGAGTTCAGCCGTGTTGAACATGTATCATACAGCACAATCTGGTTTGCAGATGGGACTTAGTTCAATCTTCCACCTAGAAACCTTCATCCTTCATCACCACTGGCAGAATGTTGAGGCATAAACTGACTATTCAGCTAGAAAAAATTATGAACAAGTGATGCTTCAGGTAAGAAGAAAGATATGACTTTCTATCCAAGTGTGTGGTGTTATATTTCTATACAATGACCATAAAACATGAATAAATGGTGTGACTTCTTTTGTCTGCTTCTTCCTTGACATACTAGATTATAATAATGGATCACTGTTTCTCGAAAAGCTCAGTGAGAAATATGCTACTTGAATTAGATTTCTATCTCCTTATCTTTAACTCAGTTTTAGATGATGCAATCTTAGATAATGCAACTTGGGGACTCAAATTGGTTCTAATGAATGGCCAATGCACTCACTTGAGCTTTCTAATTAAGCTGAAATAAATACATACCTTGCAAAAGCATAAATTGCAGCCACTAGAAGAATTATGGACAATATACACAAAGTAACCGCAAGGATTATTTCTACAGCTCTTTCAGACAGCCCATCACCTGTAATATGAAATGGCCATTACTGGTTCTGAAACATAGTTTAAAGACAAACAAAATATCTGAATCCTAAAATGTACTGTGTATTTTTTGCAAATATATTCTCTGCTAAAAGGATTCTGCTAAACTTCCCAAAAGGTAAAATTCACAACATTTAGCAGACTAAAAGAATAGAATGAAATGATCACCATGGGTGATTATGAGTTTTCATAATACAGCTATCACATTACTAGATGTGTGCTGTAATGATGTCTCTGTGAAGGTTGCAAATGGCATGTGGAAAAGCACAGCTGCTCAAGTATACATGACTTACAAATCAAGTTGCTGCATGCTTTTAGTTCCTCATATGTTGCAGTGGAATAACACCAGTATCGAAACAGGCACATAGCTGGTATCTTTGCATTACAGCAAGGTCTGATGGAACTGATGTAATAGTACTATCATAGATCCATCAGGACTGCCTCCTTGGCCCTCTGAAGCACCCTTTCTACATTACATTTTGGAAAGTGTTCCTCCTTTATCTCTAATAGCAGAGCAATGGTAGGATGTCAGAACTGCAATCAGTAAATTATATAGCATTGGAAGGATTACTTGAGTAATTCTGAACATTGCAAGAGGACAGCAATACTTGTGACTTCATTTAGTAAGTCACTTACACATTTAGCTGTCAAAAGTCTACTGTACCATCTAAAAACAAAGTTATGCAGGGTATACCTGCAAGCTGTTACAAGGTGCTGAAAATGTGAAAGTAGATGAAGTCCTGTACCTACATTTTCCTTCTGTTTAAATACAAAGGCATTTTTCATCGTAATTAAAATGCAGCTTCAGGTTTTGTATGTAGTTTTTCAGATGGAGAATGTGAAAAGTCTCTTTGTAATGCTCTAATGAAGAAATGTTAGTAGTAACACACTCTTTACCTAAAGTTTTGATGGGGTCAGAGTAGTCTGAATCTGTAAACTGGCCTTTGATATTTGTAGCTCTGAATTTAAACCTGTAAAAGAAAAGACAGAAATTAAAGAACAGGCACCTAGTGAAGCAGACTGGTGATGCATCTAGCAAAGGACCCATACTGTAGCTGGAAACATGCAAAAACAGGAAAAATGAAATTAAGGAATTTAAGAATTAAAGTTCACAACTGTTGTGTTCACAGGACCAGTAGCCACTTTTCCCCTTACCAGAATCGCAAAAAAATATTTCTAGGCATTTTCTAGTGTGATTTGATTATATGCTTCCACTGGAAGTTGAACATGGAGTTGCATTGGAAGATGTTTGTTCTAGGCATTTTCTAGACCTGCAGCATGACTCTGTGGAATGCTTCTACTCTGTAGGTTCACAGAGGCCCCATCTACACTGATCATGTTCTAAGATGGTTTCAAATTGCAGCAGCCAGACAAGAAACTCCTACAAAAGCACATGAAAGAAGTGTTCTGTGTTTTTTGTATTCACCATCAGGATCTCAAACTGGTTCCAGGATTTCCTATGTAATCATCCACACAGCAAAGCCACTTTGTTCAAAACCAGTTTGAAATGTCATTAAATGGTCACTATAGTGGCATTCTCTAGGTCTTGCAGCATGGAATGCTTCTTCTGAAAGTCATTTATATCAATAGGATTCGTTGTTATCTCTGGTTTCCCATTTCCATGGTAAGTCTAGGAATATATCCCGCACAGATATGGGAGTTGTATTGTAGGCATCATGTATGAGTTAGTTATATTTATTTATATGTATTGATTTGATTTCTCTGAAATGGTATAAAATCAATCTCCTAAAACCAATGTCTTCTTTGCTTGAGGTAGATTGGTTTCTAAGTCAAAATTATGGCATTAGAAAACTAATCTAATGTGCTTATCATACTTGTCCATCACAGTGGACCAAAAGATCTGTTTGTGTTAGATCTAATACTGGAAGTAATTTGAGCTCATATAATATAAATAAGGTTTTACTACTACCCTTTCACTAATATATCTGGGTTTTGCACAAGGCGCTTGAGAGTATGGTAGCTGGAGAGCTTCAGACATCCTTAAAGGAAGGTCTTCACACACCTCTAACATGTGCTTCTTGCTCCACTGTGTCAGCAGCTCCTCACAAGTTTCTCTAAATTGCTGCTCCCTTCTTTTCTGTGCAACTTTCCACGTGGCTTCCTCCCTCTTCTCTCTTAGCTGTTTTGCTCTTGCTTTCATATCCTTTTGTCACTCCCCCATGGTTTCTTCTAGTAATTCCATTTCAGTGAAGTAACCTTTTTCCTCTGCTTCCAGGAGATTCAGTAGTCTCTTTCTCCTCTTCTCCCGTCACGTAGCTCTGCATTTCCACATCAACCTTCTGCTGGACAAGACAGTTGAGGCATTTGCGTTCAGACACTTCTTCAATTTCGTTGATCTGTTGGCCAACCTTTCTTGTTCCTCCCAGACAATAAGTTGCTTTCCAATGACATTTGGTTTGGGAAATTTGGCCCAAATTCCAAAGAAAATGGCTTGTGTCCCTTCACTTCCCAGACCACCTGTCTCCATGGGTTCGTCGTCATTTTAAAAAGCCTCAGACATCCTTAAAGGAAACAAGTTTTATGGACCCCTTTCAGGTCACTACCAAAATATCCTTTGGTGTCTATTTGTATTTTAATTTTGTTGAACTTACGATAATATTTTATTGGGTTTTTTAACTGGATGAGAAAATATAGACCATATATTGCATGCACACACAAACTCCTCATTATCTACTATGCATACAGAAGACACAAGTCAATCACTTACAAATACTGCTTTCTCGGCTTTAGAGGACCATTACAATATTGTTCTTCACTTCCTGGTATCATACATGTACTATCAGCCCCTATTACATATACATCTTCTTTGCTGCTCAGTCCTTCATTTCCATCTACACATGGAGGGTTTGGAAAACCTTCATTAACAAAATAGGGCCTTGGTTTCTTGAAGTAGGCATCATACCACTTGGTTATATTACCATCATGCTGAACTGAATAAAAGAAAGAAAGCTGTATTATAGTCTGAAACAAAATAAAATTGAATAGTTAACTCTACAAATATATTCTACTGAACAAAATTTATAAAGAAATATGCATGACTGCACAAATGACATATGGCAATAAGGATCTCATCAGATGCAGCTAGAGAAGTGTCTTCTCCCTCCTTCTCTCTACTACCAGCATAAAGTCTCATGGAGCTCATCACATGAAGCAGGGCTGCTTCCGGCTGGACTTTCTTTGGCTCTTTACTGGCAGCGTTGTGACAACGGAGCCCAGAGTGTCCGGTGTACACTTGACTCCTCATTCAACAAGGCAAGAGGAGCCAAAGAGGAAGTGGAGACCCAGAATACCCTAGAACCACACTAAAATACCTATATAATGCCGAGAGAAGACATATTTTGTCAGACATGGTTGAAAGAAATTGCAAATTTCAGTCCCACAGATATGGGGGTTGTAATATTTGCAATAGCATAAGTGAAGTTCAGCAATGTAAAAATAACTCAAAAGAAATCCAAGTATGCAAAGAATTCAAAGAGAACAAAAAGTAGGAATCAGAAGTAAAGGCTGTACTTTATTTACTTATTTAACTACTTTAGTACCCTGTAGGCTTACCATTTAGGGTGCCTGTATTCATAAAGTGGCTTAAACTAGAAATATATACACAAGAGTTAAAGATCTTATTAGCTCATGATCTTTGTATAGGGTTAAATGAATGCTTTCCAGAGGGTTTCTGTGTTAGTCTGTTGTAGCCATTAAGGCTCTTTATAGTTTAAATTAGTATTGCAGCTGGCAACCTTCTCAAAAAAAAAATATTAAGTCAGCACAATGAAATATGTAGGGAAATCAAAGAGAATAAAATGTAGAACCCTCAAAAGCAATGAAGATGGCACATTTAACTTAACAACACAAATTTGCATACCTCCTACTTCTGCAACTAGAATTTGGATTTTTTTAATTGGTCCATGATCATCACTATAGTAACAAACTGGCATGCGAACAGTAATTGTTGTTGAAGTCACAAGTAGAGTTCCACTGGTATCATAAACTGGCATTGGCTTCCTACTAGGCCTTGGTGGTTCTGTTTATGATAGATAAATGGTACAATGCCATTCTGTTAAATCCAGTACTTTTCCAATTACTTTTCAAGTAAATTTTCAAATACCCATAATATTATTATGGCCCACCTCCATGAGGCCCTGAACACCATAACAGAAAATCACAACTAACATATTAGCACCCATAGGCATCATGATTGAAGGGCTTCCTTCCATCTCTTTTTCTATGAACATTGTAAGTAATGGCCCATAAAATGATTCAAATTGTAGTTGAAGGCAAACAGTTCTGCTGTAAACATTACAAGTAATGTCATGAGTAAGTGACAAAGATCTGAACCTCATTCAAATGATGTGCATTTCATACCAGCTAGTGTATCATGTTATTGCTAGAACAGATTAAAATACATTCCAATATGGTGATAATGACAATTTGGAAATAAGTCCCACCAGATTTTACCCTTTGTACTGCTGGCCAATTAACTAATCAACTGAATGTTATTGCTACTCTATCAGGAGTTAACATTATTTAGCTTTGTAGCTGAACACAATACAAGATTAGGCTGGAAAAGAAAACAGCATATTAAGGGTATGCTAGAATATGACTCTCCTAAAATATGGAAAAGCAAATGCAACAAAGTTTGCATTATATTTCTATAGGCATTGTGTTTATTATTAAAATTGTAAAACCATGCTATGATCCTACCTTTAATGTCTGTTGTGATTTTCAGTTGGATCTTTGGCCCTGCACCAGCACCATTGAGTGCATACACCTAAATATAAATAAAACATTTATAATACTTAAAGGGACTATTACAGATATTTCATTTTATCTGTATATACACCCTTACACAAACACACACAATATTTAGAGATTATTTCGGTGGGTAATTTTAGAGTATTGATCTATTCTCTAAAATCTCAGGCAGCATATCAATATAAAGTAGGACCATAAGATATCTATTGGGGATTAGTTCCAGGATCCCCTGTAGATGCCAAAATCCATGGATGTTCATTCTGTTATATATAATGGCATAGTAAAATCCCATGATATGTAATGGCATTGTAAAATGGCATCCTCCTCCCCATACAGAGTGGCAAACAACACAAGCAAATGTAGGAGAGAACTTCAGGATTTGTGAAATGATGGGAGGCTAGGCTACAACAAAAAATACCTACACATCAGCATAGTGCTTGGTGCATAACAAATTTAAGTTTTGCTTTGAAAAATATTTTTCAGCCATGATTTATTGAATTTGTATAAGCAGAACCCATAGATACAGACGGAAAATTGTACTTATAAACATTACAGAGAAAGATACAGTGTTCAACTTACACTGATATTATAAGTATAGCCTCCTTTTAGTCCTTCTATTAGAGCGGTAACTGACTTGTTTGTTCGGTCGATAACACTTAGATTATAGATTTGGAAGACAGTTGGGTCATCTTCTTTGTAGACCATCGCTTGATATACTTGAATATTCCCACTGAGTTCAGATGGTGGTATAAATGTCACCTGAAATTTTGTTACTTCATTGGGTATCCTCTGAAATGTTACATTACTAAGTGGGTCTCTGGGTACTAGAAGAAATTTCAATAATTGATTATTTACTTAGTTTTAATCAATCAAATCTACTTCTATCAGAGACAAGATCATTTCCCTTGTGTACTTAAATTAAATTTCAATCTGAATTCTCTATGTAACTGTTTTTTACAGCTTTCTCTTAAGACTTTATCAGGCGAGCTTAGTTTTGGCAGCATGCACCAGATCTTCTATAGTTTTATGATGGAGCCCACTGGCTCCAATCAGATGATGTTGAACTACTTCTGGCAGGGCTTCTAGTGTTGCCTTTGAGACAATGGGGGAAGCAAAGTGCCCCCCCCCCCGTGGGATATGGCAACTATTGGGTCAGGTGGCATGGGGTGATGGGTTCCCCTACCTTACACTGAGCTTCACCAGATTTGCCACGATGTATGGCAATTCCGGTGGCCCATGTGAAGAGGTCCTTAAAAACAAGATCATGCACCTTGTCTTTTTCCCAAATATTTAGAATGCTACTATGAAGCCATCTTCTTACACAATAATGCTTTGCTTTCCCAGAATATTTCTCAAATCAACACACCAACTATGAATTTGCTTTATACCACCCATGCTGTCAATTAACAGTCATATAGAGGAAGCCTTATTCATTCCTGACCCCTGACATTGCTACATAAATGTCCTACTCACACCAGAAATGGAAAGAATATTAAACCATGTTGGAAAAATATTTTAAAAACATATTTTTGGAGTGTCAGGAAATCCTTATAAGGAATTTTTTTTGGAAAGATTGATATCTTCACAGTTCAGGATTTATTTTGTAGAAAACTTCTTTTCTTTCCCTCTGAATTTAGTGTTTCCTGCATGTCATCACCTCCAAATAGTATTCAAAAACCTTCTCGCAGCATGAGAAAAGTTGCCAAAATTAACTGTTGCTTCCTTCAAAAATAAAATGAGCAAGGAATTGTATCCCTACTTAAAACTCCCTAGTAGAAGCATTTTTACGTGAGAAGCCTTTTCCAGTACATCAGAGAAAAACAATGTCATGCTGGAAGGATAGTTAGCCCTATTCACTGAGACTTATTTTAGAATTATTATGACTGGGAAGAATGAGAGTACAAGCTCATTATCTCAACCTTGTTATTTCAAAGTTTTTAGATGGGATTACATTTCATTCTTGAAAAGACAGAAGCAACAGAAGAACAATCACTAAGCTAAAAGTTTTAACAATCCTAGATATTCTGTATAAATTTGTTGTTTAAGCTTTTTATAAATATCATGGAGGCTCTTCCTGTATTAAAAATATATTAACTATTGTTTGATTTTTCAGTCAAGAACCTCCCTTGAAAGATTCACCTTAGGGTTGCCATAAGTCAAAAATATTTCAAGGCAACAAAAACAAGAACATCATTTTAGAGACCACTTCTAACCCACATTGTGACTTTTAGGGGCATGTCTGAGAAAGTTGCTTAAAAGAACCGAATAAGATATAAAAGAGAACCAGTGTGATGTAAAGTTTGAGTAATGGAATAGGACTGCAGAAGATCTGGGTTTGAATCTATGGTTTCAGCAGTGGAAACCCACTGGGTAACCTTGGCCAAGCAACATTTTCTCAGCTTTAGAACAAGGCAACAGAAAAGATCATCTGACTAAGCATTGCCAGGAAAACTCTATGATAAGGTTGCCATAAGTCATGGTTGGCTTAACAGATTATACCAGTAACAAAAAATATATAAAATAAATATACTATCTTACCTGCTTCCGATGTGGAAATAATAACTGCAGAGCTAGGCTTGCCTTCAGTATGTGCAGCATGTATATCTCCTGTAAATGCAGTGACCACTACAGAATATCTTGTAAATGCCCTTAAACCAGAAATAGCAAGAGTTGTTTCTTCCTCATTTGTTTTGACAAACGAGGCTTTGTAGTCCTCTGTATCCACCTGTATAAAACAACAACATAGTTAAGGTGGAAGTAACATTTATTAAAACCGAAGTATGGTAGCATGAGTGTAATGACGAAGAATAATCTAGATAAGCAAAAATTGATTATCTTCTACCTGTGCAGAAAATACAGGATGCCATGTCTGCCCCTGGGAGAGTTTAGGGAATAATACAAACAGACACACCATGCATAATGACATTGCCATGCTCTTTATCTCAGCCATAGTGCAATAAATCTTCCTGAGCTTTCATTTGTGGAAATTGTGGATTTCTTTGGACTTCCTTAACGGTATACTGAAGTGATTTTAGATGATCACATATGAAGCTGGAAAGTGGATAGTGTGCCACATTTAAAACCAAAATCCGGTTTGCATTGCTAGAAGTGTGAATTGGAATGCCTTGATTTCCTAACCAAACAATCAGTAAGAATGATCCAATGCTGCATTTTGGTTATTATATGTTTTTAATGGTTTTTGTATGGATTTTTATAATTGTTGTTTTAAATGTTTTTAATTTTATTTTATGACTATTATGGCATCAAATTGCTGCCAATTTGTAAGCCACCTTGAGTCATCTTCGGGCTGAGAAAGGCGGGATAGAAATATCATAAATATTTCCCTCCCCTCTTTTCATAAGAGTTTGAAGACTTGGTGGTTTCAACAAATCTTTGAGAGTGACCAGTGCTAGCTCAGCCCAGACACTCTCCGGACATGACCTAGCCCCCTAGGTCATGTCCCCCTGGTCATTCTCCTAACAGGCCCCTGGAAATAGCCCGTCCCCCACTTTTGTCATGTACCTATGACAGTACTGTACCCAAATGCGGGTCCCATCCTATTTCAATTTGTATCAGTCTTGACCCAGCCTTTTTAATTGTCCTGACCAATTCCTTTTCCATGCCCTAACAAATAGACATGAAGAGCAGGCAGGATTTTTTCTTTTAATATTTATGTGTTGTTGGGTAATTCCATGCTTATGTTGCTGTTACTGTAATTTTTTTTGTTCATGTTGTGACGCTGTATGTTTTGATGTTGTTGCTTGGAAACCGCCCTGAGTCCCCCCGGGGAGATAGAGTGGTATATAAATAAAGTTTTATTATATTATTAAATAAATAAATAATTTTGACCTAGTATGTTTCTATAGCAAAACTACATTTTTAATAGCTGGCCAGAATGTTAAGATAACACACCAAACGGCCCTTTTTCTACATAAAGCAATGCAGCTGAGAACTGCGTATTTGAAGGCGAATGGGGTAAACTGTAAGAGTGAAGCAGATATCTGAACTGGATTGGGATTGTGTAATAGCTGGTGTGTTTAAACCTTTGTTTTAACCTTCGTCCTTAACTTCTGTGGTATGAAGTGTTACCTTGGCACTTTAATGATGATGTTTTTAATTATATTTAACTTTTGACTCAATCAAGTTTTAATTTTGTTTTAATGTATGTCCACTATTACATGAGTTTTAAGACAGTGATTAGTGTCTATTTGTGCATTTTCTTGTTTTTGTCTTTTACTCTTGATGTGGTCAGTGGACTAATCAATAAACTTTACTACTCTGTTAATATGCCACAAGTCCGTTCCAACAAAATGCATCACAATTAAAGCAGATGTCACAATAAGGAAACTAAGATGAACATCAATGCGCTCTAAAATCTGCTGCCATTAAGTTATCCTGTATTAACACAGAATAAACTCCCTACTGTTCCTGCCTCTTCTACTTGTGTGAAAGTGACAATACCAGAAGGTGCAAGCAAGCCTGAAAAACTAAGCAGAAAAGGAAATCGGGTCACATAATGGATAAAGAATGCAATTATGTACACATTCTCTGCATTTCCCTATCTTCTATTAATTTTTTTATTCTAAATAGAAAATAAGATTATCCATCTCTACATTAGCAATCCCACTGGGTCAGATATGCAGTAGATTCAGCTGCTAACACAATAAAATAGGTAGAGTGTATATTTTCTTTGACAGATGTGCCTGCTGAGAGTCAACCTTAAGTCTGATGTGCTAAACAGATACTCATTTTCCAGGATGACCACCAAAAGATGAAGCATCTCATTTCCTTAAATCAGCACTCAAAGGAACACACACACTTCTTTCACATTCACACCTGTATTCTTAACTAGAACTAGTGTTTTCAATTTTGGTGAAGTGTTTGTACTACACACAAGTACTGCAAATTGGTAATTCATTTCTCACAAGGGATAGACTAAAGCTACTGAATACATCACTCATCCTTTCTACTACAACAGAAAGGAAAAAAGAAATAAGGGTTCACATATGGTATATGCAGTTTAAGAGAACAAGAATCCTAGAACAGTTATTTATGAGCAGTTTGAAATCCCAACTCTATATGGAAACACCCTGGGTGGCCCAAGCTAAGATAAATAAAAAGATCCCATCTAAAAGAGGGACAATGTATAGGAAAGGGCTATAGCAATGATAAATAATACATTCAGGTCACATTTGCCAATCAGGATCTTAGCTGAACAAATAAAGAAAATGGGAATCAATTTATTAAATCCACAACAATAAGAAACCAAAATAGTTTACATGAGTCAACATACTGTGCTTTTAAAAAACCCTTGCAAATTTGACACTATTCATTTCAAAATTAACTTTAAAATTCCATTATACAAACACCCTGGTCAGAAACAAAATAAAAATGTACACATTTTGGCTTATCCATTAAGTAGCAATTTATTATATCTTGAGATTCTTCATAAAAAGCAATATGGACAAACAAAACTTAGCCACAAGTATTGTTTGTTATATATTTTTCTCTAAACCTCAAATAATTTAGAAGACCTCCAACTTCAATGGGCCACAATTACAGAAATATACAACATTTCTTCAGGATGTTCAGATCTTTTGGGGGGCTTTTTCTTGGTCTTACCACTAACACAGACCCATGTGATGAGGATATGGGAGGGGCCCTTTGCAGTGGTCACTCCCTTGTTGCCTCTCCACTTGCTCTCTTTTCTTTGCAAGATAAAGACTCTTCTAATTAGACAGGATTACGTTTAATTGGTTTAAGAGAATCTTTTTATAGAGTATTTGTGTACATTCTTGTCTTTGTTGTTATGCTTTAAATGATAGTATATTTTAAAATATATAAAAGGACAAGATGGATGGATGGCATCCTTGCAGTGATTGGACTGACCTTGAAGGAGTTGGGGGTGGTGATGGCCGACAGAGAGCTCTGGCGTGGGCTGGTCCGTGAGGTCACGAAGAGTCGGAGACGACTGAACGAATGAACAACAAATATTTTAAAAATAATTGATGTTTAATATATTTTGCTTGATGGCATTCAACTTTTTATTATTAGATATATAACTTTATGTTTTGGCCTTGTTATAAGTACCTTGTGTTTCATGGCAAGAGAAAGGTGGGATAATAACTGAATAAATCTAAAAAGATATTTTAGAAAACTGCCTTCATTTTTTTAAAGTTATGATAATCTCAGTAATTTGAATTTTTAAAAAGTAGTGTTGTAGAATACAGTTGTCTCATGAAGTAGCAGCACACAGTTTCCCAAGAGAGCTATAAAATTGTATTCCAGGATTTTCACTACAGCGAGACTGATATTTTTATTGGGGTGTAAACGTAAATAGTCTTCTCTATATAGAGTTAACACCTGTAGTTGCAGATCATGTAGACATTATTTCTTATAATAATATCTTCTAGGAATGGGGCATTTACTCAATCTCTGTCTCAATATTGCCTGAGAATTCCAAAGAATGACAAATATCTATGCCGAGTACATCTCACTGAGTTCAGTGAGAATTGAAATATTCCCAAATAGATGTTCATAGAAGTGCAATCTTAGTCTTGTTTGAATCAGTGAGCTAAAACTGCCTTATTTTGGCTATTGACTGAAACATCTCTTGACATATATGTCTGAAATATTGAAAATTAACAATGTATTTTTAATTACAAAAATATTAGTCAGGCACTGAAAGGGTTAAATTGCAATGACTGGGCAAACCCAGTAGGATGGTAATATAAGCAAGTGTGTCCGTGGAGTGATCAGCCCCTGTGTGAGAAGGCCTCGTGTATGAAGCTCCAGTGTGAAGGCTGATGTGTGAAGGCCCCTATGTAAGTACGGTGTTTGAGGAAGCTCTGTGAGAGCAAAGCTGGAAGCTGTTTATTTGCAGGAGAAAGAAGCCCAGCAAGCAAAGAGATACTGAAGGAAGTATAAAGAACTTGATTTGTATTATAGAAACCTTATTATTGTAAATAGTGCAACCATATTATTTTTGCTACAGAGAAATGCGATTTTCCTGCTTCTTGGCATAAGGTTGGACTGGATGGCCCATGAGGTCTCTTCCAACTCTATGATTCAATGATTCTATGAAAAGCCTCCAAAAGAAGAGATAACATTTGTGTTGTTTTGTTCTTTTTATCATTTTTGGCTACTGGTGCTGGGTCGTGCTGCTGCTGCTAAGTTACTCTATTATACATTTATGGGGAAGGTCTTTTGTTGATAAGCCCACTCACCCAACAAGGGTTATGGGCCCAGTATAGCCCATACAGAGTTATTGCCAGGCTTATTTGACACTGCTCTTTTTTTTACAGCACACAATCTTCTTCTATAGTTTATCACTGTTTAGATTGCTGCTGCACATTGTAATGTTTCCTTCACAACTTAATATGAAAAAAGTGTTTCTGTTCAGGAAAAGTGCTTTTCAAGTAGGTATAATGAATCAAAAGAAAAAGAAGTTCTATGGATTGGATACCATGGACTATCCAAAATATGTCTTAGACTAAACCAAGCCTAGAAACCAAAATGACAAATGCATCTATTATATTTGGTCATATCATGAGGTAACATGACTCATCAGAAAATATTAAAATACATGGTAAAGAGGGAAGCAATGGGAAATTGGTGGATAAACTCAAGCAAGGAAGCTACAGTCTTGTTTGCAGGGTGTGAGAAGGGCAGTTGATGACAGAATGTCTTGGTGGTTTCAAAACACCTCATCACACATGGAAAAATCAACATCCTAGCACACTGCCAGGACACTTCCTCCTCAGAGCCCACTGGATGCCATCACATGACATCCGGCAACTTCTGGTAGGGCTCCAGTGCCCCATGGGTTCACCACACTGGTGGCAAATTCCCCCGCTATCCCACGGAATAGGACTTCAATGTGATAAGGTTCTTATTCTAAGGGTTTCCATAAATCAAAGCTGATTTGAAAGAAATAAACAACAATTGTGATGGCTAGGCAAGTGTCTACTTCAACGCTTCTCTCACTGAAAATCAAGCACCTTTGCTACAAAATAGATTTGTACAGCTGGAGTCCCTTCTGGATAGTCACAACTTAAATTGTATCAGTGATCGAATAGTGATCTGAGGCTCAATCTACCCTGCCATATAATCCAGATTATTAATGTAGATAATCCACATTATCTACTTTGTATTGGATTATCTGAGTCTCCACTGCCATAAAATCTAGTTCAAAGAGATAATCTGGATTCCATTTGGCAGTGTAGAAAGGGCCTGAGACTCAAAGAATAAAAAACTGAAATGACTTACTGAGGTAATGTCAATGAGGTAGAATGTCGGTCCAGTTAGGATGAGAGGTTCATTCCAGCTAATATTAATACTATAAGGAGATGTAACTACCACGGTTACATTTTCGGGGGGAGCATCTGGAGCTGCAGAAAAAAATTAAAAACATCAAGAATTAGGTTTCGTTTGGAGAAAAGGGTTTCATTTGGAGGATTCCAATTAGAAAATTTGGAATCCTGGTCTAACATTACTTACTAGCTGGCTGAAGCCATATGTATAGAATAGCCAAAAGTATAGGAATATTTATATGCAGATATTTTGTTACTACGTGTGTTAATTTTAATTGTGACTAAAAACATAGAAGCCAAGTGCATGAAAATAGTCTATATGCAGAGATAGCCCAAGCCATTTTGGTGCCTAGTTCTAATATTAAGTTGTGAAGCCAAGTTATTCTGAGACATGTGACAGAAGATATGACAAGCACCTCTCTCATGTCTGGCAGTAAAAATACAATACTAACAAAGTAAATAACTAACAATTTCCTGTTCTTTCATGACATCTAAATTTGGCTACCATGCTGTGCTGTGCCCCAATTCTAAGCACCTGCCCACCCTGCCCTTGGCCAGGCAGAAGGAAAACCCACTGTGGATTGGCTGGGCAGACTGTGGCAGCTGGATACTGAGACTTTTTACAGGAGATTTGTCTAAGTCCTGCAGAAGATCTCAGAGTCCTTCCCACTTCCTTTCCCCCAATACATTCCATACTGTGATAGAGTGACAACTTCTTGAAAAAGACCCAGCAAGGGCTGGATGTGTAACTACTCCCTTTCTTCAAAGATGAAAGTAGGGACACAGCAAAAGCTTTTGGTTTTGGGAGCATTTTAGATTCTGGATTTCTGCAAAAAGAAGACCCAACCTATACTATATGAATAATACTGGCCAACACACATTTTTGTGCCTTATCAACATCATCATAATGAGGCATGGAATGTTAGATCTGTTTCTGGGCATATTTGACCTATTGATTCCAAAAAGGGTGCCAGTTTTTCCCTATCACCTCTAGTTTTTTTTAAATACAGAGCATATGCCATCAACCAGTCTTCATCCACTTGCCATTAGAAAATCATAATAATCATATCTAAGAAACTAGAGTTGATGCATATCCAATGCAATTTTTTTTGAATCAGTGCCCCAAACAACCCCAGAAACAGGCCAAAAAACCAAGACACCCTGAATTTCTTTTGTTGGCCTGTGTATTATATGTGTGTCTACACACATTTCCCGAGTTACAAACATCTGACTTACAAACTACTCATAGTTCCAAACAGTGAAACAACAGGAAGTGAGAGAAATCTGAGTTATTACGAGAAAAGGTGTATCCACTGAAACATTCGCATCAGTCGTTGTTTCCACAAAAAGCAGAACTTTTCAAAATCTAATTATCTCAGCGACAGAAAGTATGTCAAGATTTTCTGAGCAGGGGCACAGACAGCAAAACAAACACCACAAGGGTGTTAACCTTTCCTTATGTGAACCAAAGCTAATATATATAAATATTTGGCTGGAGGTACACTTTAAAAATGTACCTGTTCTGACTTACATACAAATTCCACTTAAGAATAAAACTACGGAACCTATATTGTTCATAACTTCAGTGAAAATTATTTCAGAATTGTTTTACATCATTTCAAATGGCTAGAAATTGCTACATGGTTTTGAATAGTTCTGCTGTATGTGTCTAGCCCTGAGATCATTTGCTAAAAGATGAGATGAAGACATTTTAATCAATAAAGATATTTATTCCTGTTTCATGACAGAAAAAAACTTAATATATTTTAGACTCTATATAAAAAATCTCCCTTTATGAAGTATATTCCAGATCTTTATGAAGTATATTCCAGATCTTTTGAGACCATGTGACTACTTGTTTTTAATTAAATGCCTGCCACAGTCCATTGAGGCAACTGGTGATATGTATGCCCATGCACCTGACTCAAGCTGAACCAGATTTTGAGAATCTGTTTGCAAATGCAGGTTCTGAGAACTGCAGCTGCAACTGAATAGCTAATCTGAATTTGGCGTGTGGCTGCCAGCATTATGTGAACAATTCAGACTCCGGAAATCTCAAAATAACTAGTGGTTGAATGAAAAGTATAGCCATCATCAACACCGCTGGACTGAATGCCCAATCACCGTCTCCCAAAGCAGTTACTATACACCCAACTCAAGAACGGGAAACGTAATGTTGGTGGACAGGAAAAGAGATTTAAAGATTGGCTTAAAGCAAACCTTACAAACTGTAGCATAGACACTGAGAACTGGGAGGCCCTGGCCCTTGAGCACTCTAATTGGAGGTCAGCTGTGACCAGCAGTGCTGCAGAATTCAAAGAGACATGAATGGAGGGTGAGAAGCATGCCAGAAGGAAGGTGCATCAAGCCAACCTTGACTGGGACCACCTTCTACCTGGAAAGCGATGTCTTCACTGCAGGAGGGCATGCGGATCAATAGGGTTCCACAGCCACTATGGACCCAGCACCAAGGCACTATACTTGGAATACCATCATCTTCAAGCTATGAGGGATCACCTAAATAAGTAAGTAAATATAACCACCATGGGCTCAAAGGGGTGTACATCTGGACACTTCTATATAAGTGCATTCAGGACCATAGTAATTAATGCTTTTCAAAGTTTTTGTTAGTAATGCCAAGACAACCTTTTGCTGTCTTTCGTCATAGTGGAAAAATGTTCACCAAGCAATAGCATAATTAGTATAAGTAAAGTATGATTTAAAATTGGGAATCTATTAGCTTCAGTCTTGGAGCCTTATGACAAACATTTCACAAAAGCAAAAATTGTGCCAATGAGTAACTGCCATATGCTGATTTAAGATTGTTTGTGAAATGAGTCTAGCCAGTAATGGGGCAAGATATCACCATACCCTTCTCTCTTATAAATCACAGCAATTTACTCAGTAGGAATGACCTGGTCTTACTCATTCATTCCCCCATAATCCAATCACTTCCTCTCATGAGCACTTTTCTCCTGGTTTTCACAATAATGCATTTTCTGTAACTAATAACCATCATTTCCTGATTATCATGCTTCTATGCTTGCACAGGAATGTGGGTCTTATAGAGGTCAGGGTCATTTTTTCCCATCCATCTGTGTCCTGATGCTAGAGGAGCAGTTAAGTTTGTTAGCTGGATGGTACGTCTGGATAGCTTATCATTTTACAGAGCAGGCCTTCAAAAAGTAAGGCTAACCCTCTGAAGCTTTAACACATCTTCTGGTTCAGACTCTATTCACTTCATGGCCATATATTTTGGTAGGGGCAGTTTCTAAAAGATACAGCTATGCATTATCACATATTTTTAAAATATGTGATCATGGCTGCTTTTTAAATATTGTTTTTACAACTAGTTTGATTATTGGAAAAAAGGCATTCAATTTTATTAATGAGATAACTCTGTCCAGCTTTCTACAATATTTTCCAGAGGAGCAATTACTAAAATGAAATTGTATTGTCGAAGGCTTTCATGGAGGGAATCACTAGGTTGTTGTGAGTTTTCCAGGCTGTATGGCAATGTTCCAGAAGCATTCTCTCCTGACATTTCACCTGTATTTATGACAGGCATCTTCAGAGGTTGTGAGATCTGTTGGAAACTAGGAAAAGCATAACAGTTAATAAAATCATAACAGTAAATAAAGAACAACATTAAAAAAAACAGGGGAATTCCAGACAAGAAACAATCAGGGCCAACTAATCACCTCTGAATAAAGGATTCCCCCAGGCAGTAAGACCTTGAAACTGCTAGGCCATTAAATACTAATCAAGGAGGCCAATTGAAACAGTCACACATATCTCTAACAGACAAGAGTGCTTTCTTCCACCCTGGATATTCCATAGATATATAAACCCCATTTTCCTAGTTTCCAACAGACCTCTCAACCTCTGAGGATGCCTGTGATAGATGCAGGCAAAACATCAGGAGATAATGCTTCTGGAACATGGCCATACAGCCCAGAAAACTCACAAAAACCCACTAAAATGAAATCATAATTGTATTCTATTGCTGCAAAATCTCTGAGAAATCAGGGACAGAGCAAATTGAGTATTCTTTCTTCTGCCTGGTGAAGCAGAGGCATGTGACGCAATGAGAGCGAAGAAATTATTTCTTACAGCTTATTTGTAATGGAAATCTACTGTTCTTTTTAATATTTTGAGGATGATGTTATTATAGGAACTCGAAGCTATTATATTGAAACACAGTAGTAGAAATGGAGCTAGAATGAACACAGCAACACTATAAAAACACATAATTAGAACAAAGAAGGTTTGGTCTTTTCCCTTCTGTTGATATTCATTTTTCTTATCATTGCATGACATCATTCACTATGCTTGTTAAATTGATTTGTATTGTCAAAGGCAGTAAGAAGCCAGACCTTGAAACTGCTAGGCCCTTTAATGCTAATCAAGGTGGCCAATTGAAACATTCACACCTACCTCAAATAGACAAGAGTTCTTTCTCCCACCCTGGACATTCCTTTTTCCTAGTTTCCAACACACCTCACAACCTCTGAGGATGCCTGCCATAGATGCAGGTGAAACATCAGGAGAGAATGCTTCTGGAACATGGCCATACAGCCCAGAAAACTCACAACAACCCAGTAAATTGATCTGTATTTTTTGTTGTGGCTGTGTGCCTTCAAGTTGTTTAAGACTTATAGCATACTTGAGGTGAACCTATTATAGGATTTTCCTATCAAGGATTGCTCAGATTTTTGCTTTCCTCTGGGGCTCAGCGAGTGTGACTTGCCAAAGATGATCCAGTAGGTTTCAATAGTCGAGTGGGGATTCAAACTCTGGTCTCCAGAGTCATAGTCCAATGCCCAAACCACTACACCATGGTGACTCTCTTGCCATATTAAGATGCATAGTGGTGAACGAGAAGAAACGGCCTTTTTATACTTTTCCAAATGAAACATTTAATGATAAGCGCAACAGCAATTGTGCACCTGCTAAATTAGTAAGATAACATAAGTGCACATTTTGGCTCCATCCCAACAATATCCATTCTCCCTATGTTTTGACCAGAGTCATGCTCTGAGTAAGAAGTCTGTATCTGCAGAGAAATTAAGAGAAGTCCAACAAGCATACAGCTTGCACCAAATTAGTGTGCATGGGATTAGGTGAACATGTGTAGACCAGGAATAGCATCAGCAGGAACATAGTAAATCCTTCTTGGAGTAATTTTGTTTATCTTCTTAGCTAAATTAATGTTCTTCCTTTCATATAATTACACACTAGAAGAAACAATTCAGAAAACCTATGTATGTCAGGCGGTTGGACTGGATGGCCCTTGTGGTCTCTTTCAGCTCTATGACTATAAGTCTGAAGTCACTTTATTTTAAAAATGTAAAGCAATCGTAATGGGGAAATGTCACACAGCTACAGCCAAATATTAATCTACTAATTACATTAGACCCATTGAACCCATACAGTTTATACTCAGATCTCATTGATTTAGCCAGTCTACTGTAGTTGAGACTAACTGGATTTAGGCATTGTTATCAGCACCGGTGGCGGAGTGGGTTTGACTGCTGAGCTGCTGAACTGCCAACCTAGCAGTTTGAAAGCATGTAAATGTGAGTAGATCAATAGGTACTGCTTCTGCAGGAAGGTAACGGCACTCCATGCAGTCATGCCGGCTACATGATCTTGGAGGTGTCTACGAAAAATGCTGGCTCTTCAGCTTAGAAATGGAGATGAGCACTAACTCCCAAAGTTGGATGCGACTGGACTCAGGGGAAAACATTTACCTTTTTATCTGCACTAACGGGAGAGGTTGGCAGACTACATGATTTTAATCTTATATTAAAAGCAGTTATGTAACCTTATGTCAAGAAAAGTTATCTACTGAATTCCTTTTTTCCATTTCTGACTTCAGTATTCTGAAAAACCAGATGGAATTGAAGACAAAACCGCTATGTTTATAGCTGCATGAAAGATAATTTCAACATGGATTGCTTTTCTCACCATGTTATGAAAAGTAGCAGCTGTCAACATTTTTTCTCTTATTGTAAAACAAACGTATGGTTTAATATTATGGCAACGACATAGTTGGGTTCTTTATAAGGCAGATCCCATTGCAAAGAGGAGCTATATAATTTATCAGCAGGGCAATAACAGTACCATCAAACTATTTTATGAGACAGAAAGACAGTTCCTAGGAGGATAATCTATAAAACAGAAGTCTGAGTACTCTATCTGTCTAGCTGTGGGAGTAAAAAATAGCACTGGTGAAATAGCTACAACGATTCTTGCTTATTACAAATGAGTAAAAACATGTTAATGATTTCAGAAACACTGTTTTAAAATTGCCTAATGTTATAGAATTAAGATAAGGGCATTTTACCACTTAAATTATGCATTGTAGAATCTAAAAAACATTTTTTTCCAAGATCTCTAACATTCAAAAAGCTATGTTAAGGCTTGGTGCTTCTAAAAGTTATGGAACCTATGAACTACAATGGATGAGAACAGAGATGTTGTGATGCTAATTGTTGTGATGTTGTGATGCTAACAGCAAATTGTTGTAACCAACTGTGACTTGATTGTTTAAAACATTTCTATATAACAGTTCCTAATCTAACTGGAATTTTACTTGAAACAGGAAAAGCAAATAAATGTTTACTCCAGCTAATTTTAAATAATGTCCACACCGAAACATTCTAGATAAGCCACTGTTTTTGATGATTACTACAAAAAGCAATGACTAAGATCCACAAGTGAGAAATTTCACCTAGAAATGCTGTCTACTAATGCCTTTTCTTGTATATTTCTCAGAATTGGGAGAAATATGCCTATTTTACAAGTTTGAAGTCTTAACTATATTAAGCATATAGATGGGAAAGAAGTGATGTTATACTTGTTGATCTGAATCAACAAAAGCTTTTAACAGTAAATAAAAAATAACACTCAAAAACAAGGGCACTCCAGACATGAAACAATCAGGGAACTATTCTAGACAGTAAGAAGCCACACCTTGAAACTGCTAGGCCATTAAATGCTAATCAAGGTGGCCAACTGAAACATTCACGCCAACCTCCAACAGTCAAGAGTTCTTTCTACCACTTTGGACATTCTATATATATATATATATATATTATATATATATATATATATATATATAAACCATTTTCCTAGTTTCCAACTGACCTCACAACCTCTGAGGATGCCTGCCATAAATGCAGGCAAAACATCAGGAGATAATGCTTCTGGAATATGGCCATACAGCCTGAAAAACTTACAACCCAGCTTTTAAAGTATAATATTATATTATGTTCTAATATTATGTTATGTGTGTGTGTGCACACATATATTTATACACACACATACAGACTATATTCTGTATATGTTGTTATAAACATCCTTTATTTTGTTAATGTCCAAAGTGAAGGAAAAACAGAAATTTGGTGCAATACTATTTGGCTATTTTAATGTCTTCCTCTTTAACAACAATGTATATATTGTAGTTAACTCCTATACCTCATTCCCACCACATTGTATAAACAGTTTTTAATGTTTCCTATTTAACAAATTCAAGATAATCATATAATCACTTGTTTACAATGTGAATTTGCCGTAGTATTTTTAATTTGATGTCAATATAAAATTATAAGGTATAATAGTCATTTTTTACTTACATCCAGGAAGAGTCTGTGTAGAAATCCAAGGCGTGGATCCACCATATCCAGCATTTGTACTTGCAGAAATTTTAAATCTATACCATCTGAATTTTTTCAGATCATAAACTGTTTCCACTATAAGATCATCAGTAAGGTCTGAATATTGTTCCTTCTCATACTCAATGCATTCAGCTTCCCAGTTATCACAATGGATTGAGCGCAGTTGTGTAGTAATCCTGTAGTTTTGAAAGTACCCAAAGATAGTAGCTGGGGTTCTCCATCTCAAGGTCACACTTGTGGATTGTACGCTTGAAAATGCTATCTCTCTGGGAGCACTGGGAACTTAAAACACAAAAAGGACAAAAGTTATTCATTCACCTCACTTTACAATAGCCAGTAGTTTGAGTTAATTGCTGAAAACAAGATACTAAATAAGGCTGCGCTGGAAAGAGATACGCTCACATGATTACTTCTGACCTTTTACATTGTCCCTCTCCATATACTTGTGTGCTGTCGCACGCTGGGCCTGTGCATTGGACTGTACACAGGACATAAATTCTCTGTGCCCAACGGGACGCCGGGGCTGCCTCAGAATAAAGGCCCTTAGATTCCCCCAAACAGAGTCTTTAGAATGCTTAAAGTAAGTCCAACAAAGTTCTTTTATTAAGGAACAAACAGGTACTTTAACGGTTTTCTTAACAGTCTATAGGCTCTTTCAAATCTTGTCCACTAGGAACAGGCACTGTCTTCTTAACTGTAACTAACTGATGGGGAAATCCTAGCTTCTAATCTGGGCAGTCTGTACTTGCCTCTGTTGACATGGAGCCCCTGCACCCGGTACCAACTGCATCTGGCTTCCGCGAGTGACCCTTGTCTCAACAGAGCTTTGTAGACCTCCAGGGAAAAAGAAGGACTTCAGGTTGCTGTGATGGCCGGCTGGAGTCCCTCAGCCAAGCTGTGGCTGTATGTCTCCTGGCCAAACTGTAGGGCTGTATAACCCCGGCCAAGCTGTAAAAGACGAAGCTTTTCTACAGGACCCACTTCGTTCTTTGTCCTGTGCGAAAGGCTTCTCTGTGAGAACTAACTCAAAATGGCTTTGTTCCCTCCAAAACTCAAAAAGGGGCGGGATCAGGGAACCTAACTATAACTGGCAGGTGGCTTACCCTATAAATGCAAATTATAACAGGAAACCCCCTGCTGCAAAATCCCAAGCATGGGATTGCACACAAACATTTCAACACAGCAAATAAATCTGGAGCTCCTGGAACAGCTGTTCCAGAACACTCCTGGCCTAGATTTCTCAATGATGAGAAATCTACACTATAATAAACGGACCAAAACATCGTGAGTCAAATTCTTACACTCTAAAAAAATAGCATTTAAAATCTTTCTACACAAATCAATCATACGTTCCCACACGCCCCCCATGTGAGACGCATGCGGTACATTGAATAACCATGAAACCTTTTCTGCATTTAAAAAGGCTGAAGTATCCATACACTCAATCACCTCGATGTGAATGGCTCGGATAACTAAACAAGTAAAGATGGCTGAAAAGAAATGCCTAGTCTCTCTTCTAATTGTCTGAGCCAATTGAATAGCTAGCACAGCAGCACAGCGTCCTAACCTAAGGACAGTGGTGTGAGGTGGAGCAATCTTAGCCTTGGCCTTAGCAAAACCTAAAGCCCAAGAACTAGAGTCCCTTTGTCTGGCGTAAGCCACAGCTGCAATAGCTTTCTCCGAGGCGTCACAAAAGACATGGAGTTCGGTGTGTGAGCCTTGCAAAGGGCTCCTGGCCGTGAATTGGTGTGGGATGCTCAGCTGGTGTAAATCTTGAGCCTGAACGATTTGCTGTTTGGTCTTGGGATCATGCTGTATCTTGTGTCTCAATGACTGCAGTCTCTTTTCTGCTACCTGTCTGTTGGGGGACAGGGTAGGCCGGTCTGCTTTGAAGGGCAAAGGGGCGATCCAATTCCCTTCCTTGCTGAGAGTGACCTCGGAGTTCATGATGTTCAGGAACGCTTGCTCATCTCGGGAGAGCGCTGTGTTCTCATCATCCTGGGACACGTCGAAGATGGAAGAGAACTCAGATGAAACTCCTTGGCAGCAAACAGAAATGTGGCTAAGGCAACTTTGCATGAGGGTGACTCTGCCACAGCTGAGAGTGTTGGGTTGATCTGGACACAGAGAAGACGGAGGATGCATTCTGTCGACACATACAGGTCCCTGTATGGTCCATCCTAAAGGAGTCTTCTGTGCCAAAGGTGCACCAGGAGGACCTCTCTTTTCAGCTCGGATGCTCATCAAGCTGGGGCAGTTGGATCCAATGAGCAGGACTATGTCGATGCCTGGCTCAAAGGGTGGAATGAGGTCCTGTAGTCCTTTCAGGTGAGGATGAGCTTGCATCATCTCTCTGGTAGCAATCTGGTCCTTATTGCGTGGGATGGATGCACACTCAATAAGGTCAGGTAACTCAAAACGAATGTCTTTGCCACATGGCGAAATGATAAATCCAGACGCAACGTGGCCCTGTCTTCGTTGTTTGCCTGTACAAGTAGAAATATAATAGTCAATAGTCTTTGCCTGCCCCTTAAAGATCTTGAAGAAGTCAGGGGTGGCCAGGGAACCGTCGCTTTGGTTGTCAAGGGCCACGTACATTTTCTTCTTCATCCAAGGCTTGCTGGCAGGAAAAACCTCTGCCAAACAAATGGGGTGGCAAATCCTAGTCTTCTTTGGGCTGCCGCACAGCTGTGTGCAGGCCACAGAGGGTGCCTCAGTGCCTGATGAAGGTCCAGCTGAATCTTCTGGGGAAGCTTCTGAGGAGCATGGACTGGTGGCTCCACTCTTGATCTTGGAGGGCACGAAATCCTTGTCATGCATAGCTGAGCAATGCTTTTCAGATTGGCACACCTCGCACTTCACCTTTTCTTTGCATGACTTTGACTGGTGGGGAGTTACACCGCAGCACCTGAAGCAGATCCTGGACTTCTTGAGGATCTCGACCTTGTCTGCGTGAGGCTTCTTGGCGAACTCCCTGCAGTCGGCCAAACTGCGGGGCTTTGCATGCAGTGGGCACAAGACATACTTGGGGTCAGCTGGAGATGAGTTGGTCTCCGTGGACTTGACGGTGATGTTTCTTTTGGTGCCACTGTCTGCAGGTTTCTTAGGGTCTTTGATGGGCCTGTCCATCCTTGGGGTCCCATAAAGAGTTGGAAATCCTGTCTGTGGGTCGTTGAACTGCATGGCTGCATTTGTGACGAAATCTACAAGATGTGCGAACGGTGGGTAGACCTGATGGTTGGCCTGCTTGAATCTGAAGACTTCTTTGCCCCACTCTTCTTGTAAGGAGAATGGCAGCTTCTGGATGATGGCAGTTTGGGACAGGTGTTGGTCCAGGCAGGCAAACCCTGGAAGCTGTGGGTTTCCCTTGGCAGACTGAAGCTCAATCAATAAGTCTGACAAGTCCCAAAGCTGTTCAAAGTCTTTTGGTTTGAGCGCCGGGAACTGATGAAGTCTGTCCATCAGCGAGGCTTCAATTTGGGTGCTGGACCCATAGCGCTGATCAAGCCTCGTCCATGCAGTGTCCAATGCTCTGTCTGGTTGATCGATGAGAGCGGAGAAAATCCTTCTCACCTGCTGAGCTGATACTGGACCAAGCCAGGCGATCAAAAGAGTCAATTGTTCCTCAGAGGAGAGTCTTAAACTCTGAATGGCTCGCTGAAAAGTCTTTTTCCAAAGTAGGAAATCTTCTGGCCGGTCAGAGAATTTCTCCACACCTTTGTCCCTCAAATCTTTTCTCGGGTTCCTAAACAAAGACTCAAGCTGCAACTGAGGAGTCTGAAGGAACGGAAGGGGTGTTTGGTCAGAGGCAAAGGTGAAGTTCTTCTGAAATGTAGAAGGTCCATTCCAAGGAACACCTATGGCCTCAGGAATGGGCGAAACTCTGATTTCTGGGCTAGGCTTGGGTACCTGAGTTGATGGCTGTGGGCTCCTGGCCCTGAATTGCTCGACCAGTCTGCGTGGCGTGATGTCGCTGTCCGCATGCACCAGGTTGCCGTTTTGGAAACCAACGTGGGCTGGCAGAAGAGATGTGGTTGGAGGCGTTGGCAAAAGGTTGACATTTTCTTGAGACAGTTCTCCTTGCAGCGCCTTTGCCAAGATGTCGGCACGGACTCTTTTCTGCGCTGCCTCCTGCTGGATGCGCAACAACTTTAACTTCGCCTCTAACTCGGCTTGTGACTTCTTTTGCTTCGCCTCTAATTCGGCTTGTGACTGCTTTTGCTTCACCTCTAACTCTAGTTGAGCCCGCTCGAAGTTCAGGCCTAAATCTGCCGCTGCTGCCTCAGCTTCCGCCTCAAGAATTTTTTCTTGCAGTTTGAGACGCCTTGTTTCCCTCTTGTAAAGGGCCGCCATAGATGAGGAGCTGCTTCTGGAAACAGACGATCCTGACGCGGAGCCATGTCTGCTGCTATGCCTCCTGCTGGTGTGGCTGTGCTTGCTTTGGCCAGAAGCACCTCCCTGACTGCTCTGCGCACTTAAAGCCTTTGGGGAATGCTTAAGCGGCTCTGGGATCACACTGCCAACGGGCGAAGCTTGACCATCCTTGTCCCTTCTGGGGGAGGGATCAAAGTAGGCTGCATGAAAACTGTGGGATCTTAGATCATAAGGCTTGCCCTCAGATTTTTGTGAGCTTGAGGTATGAGCCATGATAGCAAATTGCCCAAACAGTATAGCAATACAGGTGAAATAACAAGTGGAGCAATCAGTATATCAATAACCAACAGTCAATAGAACACACAATATAAAATGCAATTTCATTAGGATGCAGCAAACAGCATAAACATGCAATTGCAACAACAAATAGAGCAGACAAATATCAAGACAGCTATTAGCACACTCAAACTTATCACTTTAAGGCAGAGAATAAACATAGCAGACACAATAATTCAAATGAACATCAAACTCTTGCTAAAAGGCTGTAAAAAGCCAAAGGCGATTGCAAAAAACCCTTTCCAGAAATCCGTAAGGCAAAGCAGAAACAAGGCTTGTTTCAAAAGAGCGGGAAAGATTGCTTCTGCTGGAAACTGTAGCAGGACCTAGCAGAGCTTGCTATGTAGATACTTTAGAAAGGACGGGAAGAATGTTGCAATTCCATGCAGACCTGCTGTGCAAAAGCTGGAGGAGAAATGTAGCAACTTGCAAACTGAGTAGATCTTCAAAATGGTGGGAAGAGAGCTGAAGCAAAGAAGGAGGCTGCCAGCCCCTCCCTTCTGGTCTTCCAAAATGGCCGAAAATGAAGAAGCACGAACAGATGGGCTCCTCTTCAAGATGGCCGAAACTCC